GGATATTTTCAATGAAAACAGTCAACAATATTTTTTTATATTCTTTGCAAATTAAAAGATTGAATTAATTTTTTTTAATCATGAACAACTATAGACTCAATAAACTAATTATACCAATTATATTTTTTATCAAAGCAAAGCTCAAGTAGTAACAACACAGGTGAAAATTAGTTTCATTTGTAAATGCACTCTACATCAAGGAATTCGATTTCATTTCTATTATCTGTAAATATACTATTCATCCAACAAAAGAAATCATTAAGTTATCTATTTCGTAATACAAAAATAATCTTACAATGATTCATCAACGACTCTACCTAAACATTTATTTTATAAAGAGTTAAAAGCAATTATATGAATAAATCAATTTCACATCAGCGTCCTTCAATCACGCGAATAAAACTTCGACTACGATTAACCATTTATTAAATTATCATACCTGTCTGTGCATCACGTTAAAAACAGTACTCTGGATAGTTTAATTTATGTATGTATATATTATATATCATATGTATAAAACATGTATGAATCGAAACGATATCCTTACTTATATTATAAATGTGAAAGTGTGTTTGTTTGTCCTTATTTTACGTCGAAACAGAGTGACGGACTGGCGTGATTTTTTTGTGTGAAGGTATTAGGAAGGCTGGAGAATGACATAGGCTACTTTTTGATGCGGGAGATTTTCTCATTACCACGGAAAAACAGATTACAATATGACCTACAAGAACTCATCATATCTATGTATATATAAAATATATATATTCCATAATAACCGTTAAAATGTACCGATGATCTATATATTATGTATAGATTATTTTTACTGTGCATCTTATAATTGTATATAGGTAATGGAAATTAAAGAAAACTTGATAATGGCAAAGATATATCTATCTCTGAAATAAATCTCTTGCAATCTATTTATGGAAGTGTTAAAATAGTAATTTTCACAATTTTTAACTTTAACTAACTCGTTAAGATCCCTATTAAAGATACTAAGGCGACCTTGTGTAATCAGAGACTCTACATTAGCTCTTAAAGTAACATATGCGTTTAATTTATAAAACGTTTTTGGATTATGGTGTCGTATTTATATCTCATATTTTATCTTCTATAACAAAAAAGCACAAACACAGAATTTCAACTTACCAGAGAAAATCCTGCTTACTTGAGAAAGAAAGAAAGACAAGTAAATGAATGCTTGGTTATTTATATATTCATTTACGCTTTTTTTATTAAATATTTCAACAAAACGGTCCCTATTGATTTTATAAATTTTTTGATTAAGTAATTTCTTCACAATAATTTGTACTTGTACAAATTAAATCGATATACACATAGTAAGATACAAATAAATAAGTATAATTTTAATAGCTGAATTTGATGCTAATACCATGAGCAAGTTATTTTCAAATCATAGATAGAAACTTCATAAACACAGACAGACAAATGCGTGTAAAATATTCATAGTATAGCTCATTTATCAATAGAAAAAACTAACAATCTGACCTGGTTTTGTCCGGATGCTTGTTACTTATTTGGTGTTACATGTTTTTATTACATATTTTTGCACTAAGGATAAGGATATTTTTATATCCTTGTACCTAGATATATATACATACCTACACTTAAAGGGGCTCTTAGGATTAACCCATCACGCTTTTTAGTATTGTAATGTGCATAAAATTAAAGTTATCAAGGTACTATGTAAAACGTATTTGATATATTAATCTATACATATAATAAAATTCTAACTAAGCATATATATATATATATATATATATATATATATATATATATATATAGCTATATATTAAATATTTTTTGGAAAATCTTATTGCAATAGACATACATTATTATCACAAGCTGAATGCACATTAGGGGATTTACACCCCTGCGGTAATGTTTAAAAACATAGGTTAACGTAGCTTTTTTATGATGTCAAGGAAATTATTTATAATTCACTTAACAATCAGCATAATTTAACAATATTGTGTTAAAGTTAATTATGTACTAAATAACGTTTCTTCATATTAACGCTAGACAAGGTTAAAAGTAATTTCACAAAATAATCTTTTATTTAGCAGAATCGAAATGAATTCAGTCTTATAAGCTTAGTTAAGATAAAATAGCAAATATTTGATGTACAAAAAATAATATCTGAAGCGAGGCTCAAATCTGGGAAACTTCATAAACAAATGATACAAAGTCTAATTATGAAAAGAACTTAATATGTGCTAATACAAAAATAATTCTATACAATTATATAATATGCATCCATAAATATTGAGCAGACATACACATAATTGTATAACCGAGAATCGAACACGCAACACCTGGCCAACCAAATTTCGTAGAACAAACCAGTTCAAAATAATTGCATTATGAAACGCATAGCTCGCATTTTGGTCTGTGAATTTCAATTGATTAGCTCTTTGCTTCTAATCCGCTATGATTGTAAAACTATTATTTAGAATTTTGTAATATTGGTTCATTTATTAAGACAAGTTATTACCCACGTCTATACGTAAATATCCTATATGTAATTAATTTATATATTATATAAAATACCATACAAATTTGTAACATATCTATACATATAATCAAATTGTAACTAAGCTGAATCTGTACATTAAATATTTTTGGGAAATCTTATTCAAATACACATTATTATCGATACAGAGGCCGAATCTATTGTTTTTAGAATTTTTGTCTGTCTGTCTGTCTGTCTGTCTGTATGTTACCGCATCACAGAAAAACCACTGAAGGTATTTTGATGAAATTTGGTATGGTGATAGCTGGTTATACGGGTCAACATATAGGATACTTTTTACATATATTATACTAATAAGTCATTTTTTACATATAGTATACCAATATGTAAAACCTAAGAATTTGGTTTTTCGGGCATCTGAACGCGGGTGGAGCCGCGGGAAATGCTAGTTACATATGTATATAACGTAAAACAAAATTATAAGAATATCTTAAAGGATCGATTATACATAAATTATAAATTTGATAAACATAAATACTTACATACGTATTCGCATACTTGCCTACACGTTAAACATGTATATCTATACTTAATATTATAAATGTGAAACTGTGTTTGTTTGTTTGTCCTTCTTTCACATCGAAACTATCGAAACAGAGTGACGGATTGGCGTGATTTTCTTGTAGAGATAGTTGGAGGGCTGGAGAGTGACATAGGCTACTTTTTACCGCGGGAGATTATCTCATTCGCACATGAAAACACGTTATAAAACATCCCACAACTACTCATCATGACTATGTGTATATATAATGAACAGTCTATCTATTCTATACTAGCCGTTAAAACGTAAGGAGCGAAGTGAGGGTGAGTCGCTAATAATACATAATCCTATTAAGCCCTTTTGAACTTCCCACTATTAAGCTAGGACCTCTCATCAATGCGAGGGGCATCAGGCCATAGTCCACCACGCTGGCCAAGTGCGGGTTGGCGGACTTCACATGTGTTTCGAAAACTTGCTAGGTTATCTCAAACATGCAGGTTTCCTCACAATGTTTTCCTTTAACATATTAGCTAATGATAATCATGAAGGAAATTATTCGCTTATGAAAAAGCGGAGGTGCGAGGCCCGAGATATGAATGCTGGCTTGGATAAATCACATTTATACATATATGTTATACAACCACATAAAACTTTTCAAATATTGTTCTAAAAATAAGATGTTTCAAAAATTATTTTACTAACTACTACTACCTAAATACTATTCACTATTCTAAAGTAAACAATCCTGATTATATGTTCTAGTTTAAATAATATTTTGCACGTGACTCATGATTTTGCATTATGTATGTCCATACGCATTTGAAATATTTGAAATAGAGTTTAAACTCTATATATTTTGCAATTCACTCATAAGTAGGTTCAATTATATATACATATATATATATATATATATATATATATATATATATATATATACTACTAAGTAATTCAATTTAGTTATATCGTTAATTGAAAGTTTTTACTTTCCGGTGAACGCAGAAAGCATAAAAGCCTCAATTTTAAATAAGCACAATGCCAACCAAATATTTTATTCTTAGAAAAATATGTAATTTAAATTCGTATTATATTTTTTAATAATTACTACACTATGGTACAATTAAAATTAATTTATACTTAGTTTAAATTAAATGAAAAAGAAATCAACGTCTCTCCTTCATAGGTTGGCTATGGCTAGTTATAAATGGGAGCATGCATGTTTAGCATACTAATGGATTACATAAAGTTTATATGGGATCATTTATATCCTGTCCTAAGCATGCGAATATATTATGTTATATATTTTTTTATAAAACATTAATTATATGTCATGTTCTACATTTTTTCCAAAATAATTAACACATTCATGATTGAATATATAAAAAGTTAAGTAAGTCATTTAAAAATATCATTAATCTAGACCAAGTAAATGTATGTATTAATAAAATATTCCTTACAACATGATCGAATACGAAATATTACAAAAACGTTAAATTAGCTACTCTTCATATAAAAAAGAACTAAAACTAGCCACATAAAATGCAACGAGGCAAAAAATTTTACTCAAATATAAATAATAAATGAATAATTATAACCAATACATGCCATGTTTTTTTTATTTAAAAAAATTTGAAGTAAAATAGGTCTTTGTATATACAATTCATTCTAACTATATTTCCAAGTATTTGTGCCCTTATAATACATTTATATACAGCATAGTACCGGATCTGTACAGCGCCTAAATCGACGTTCACATTTTCTTTGACCGTCTAACATTCCACCAACTTACAAGGTCGGAGAGATTCGTACTATAATAAAACCATAATATATAACTAGTGTTATATTAAAACAAACATTTCACAATTATTCTATTAAAAATCCATCGTGAAAAATGTAGAGACCCTACAATATGAGACATAAACAAGACTCTACATAGCTTAGGAATTTTTTTTATTCAGGTAGACTTACCGATGAATATTTATTTTATCCATCCATTGTAAGCATTTAGCTCATAAACTTTTAACCAATTGTTTGAACACTAAACATCGGCACTTATTATGCAACAACACGCGCGTACCCGGCGGGGTTTCGAGCATAACTGAGCTAAGAAACTTGCCCGGGCGGTTGCGCTCGCGCACCCAACGGATGGTCCGGTTTGCGCTTGTTAGTTGTTTCGTTTACCTTTTGTCATAAGAATATATCATTTTCTAAAAATTATATAATATTTGTATATGGATTATTGATTAGTCAATGAATTTTATGTAAGAATTCGTGGTATTCCTGAACTCTACATTAATTAGTAAACGTATAATTTATTAACTTAATAATTAATTTTAACATAATTTTTACTACTTTTTACGCGAGAATCTACTAATTTTGAAAATTTATAATAAAATTAAAACATTACCATGTTAATTTGAAAATATATGTACAGAAGATGTATAGAAGAACTAAGCAATGAGCTAGAAGAAAAGCTAGTTTGATAGGAGTATTAATAAAGTTCAATGATATTTATGGTAGATACCTAAGTTATATCATATACTATAACCGATCAATAAATGTATTTATCCTGTTCGTCGTTTGAACTGGTATATTTCAACGTAAAATGCTATTTTTACTGGATATCATACTCTACATCATGGCTGGTTATACCTTTAATGCTTGTTAATTAATTAATTAAAAAAAATAAGTGCGAAAATGTGTTTGATGTATTTCTTTATTTTGTATATAAATGTATTTTTTTTTTTTGAAAATAGTTAAATGACCGAGTTACATATGTGTTTAAAAAAAGTAATACATATTCTGTATTAGTACTAGTATATTATTATATGATCTGTGGTAATAGTAAAAAATATTCTGGTAAATAAACTAAATTCCTCAAAGTTTTAGTTTTGTGAAAAATTACCTAAGAACGCTGAGCAAAGTGAGAACCGATAAGTCAATAAATAATATACAATAAAGTAACAACATATGTCTATCTGTTTGTGCGTTTAGTTTTTCACAGTACATAGTGAGTTTTAATTTCCACTGGATGATTTATATGTACCTACAATACATACAAATTATATTTATATAACAAAAAGAAAAATCAATGGTTTGTAATGAAGTCCTCAAGCGAAGCGAGTGCGAGGCTTGCTATATACTATGACTTATTGGTTCAGTACTTTTTGCGTAGAAAGCAAAGGGACAAACAGACATTCAGACAAACATACAAACATTTTAACAACGATTGTTTTGACTTTTGGGGTCTATATTCCGTACACGATATGAAAAATCATAATTTTTAAACAATATTTCATGTACAGATTTCGCTTTGTTACTATTTTATACCTATATATGTAAAAGGCACGCAGGGAAGCAACCAAGGGATGTGAGGTTAAAGCCGATTTCACCAACGTCACCTAAGTTAGGGATCCCCTAAACATGGTTAGGGGGCTGTTAGGGGACAGTTTCTATTTCACCGACAGTTAGGGGTCACCTAAAAATTTAAAAATAATAATAAAATGCCACCTAAATATAGGTACTAGAAATACGGGCTCTGACGATGGGAAGCGAAATTTAATTTAGGGGCTAGTTTAGGGGTACTTTTAAGCTAGGGATCCCATACGTAGGTGGTAGCGTAAGTGATGTTGGTGAAATCGGGCATAAGTCACTCAGATTTAAGACTTTAAAGTGACATTCAAATTATTCAGAATAACTTTTCAAAATATGAATTTTATATAAATAGTATATTGAATACTAGCGACTCGCCCTCCTATATGTTGTTCCGCATAACCAGCTATCATCATACCAATTTTCATCAAAATCTGTCCAGTGGGTTTTTCGTGATGCGGTACAGACGGACACACAAAAATTCTAAAAAGTATCAAATCAAATCAAATCAAACACTTTATTGCGAACTTGGGTTAGTACATACATTTAGATTTTGATAATAACATATTTAATGTTCAGCCAAATTCAGCCTTACAGCATGCAATATTTCAATAATTAAAATATACCTAAAATTACAAACGTTAACATATATTACATAATAACATATTATTCAGTATTATGTTTAACTTCCTGTGTAATGTATATTATATCATTCTTTTTAGCTAGTTAATTACAATACCTATATACCTGTTTAAAATTATATATTACACCTTATCCAACATATAGTCTTTAACTGAATAATACGTCTTTTCTAATAGAAATTTCTTCAATTTATGTTTAAATACATTAATTTTATTAATTTCTAAAATATCTTTAGGCAAATGATTATATAAAAGTGGTCCAGTACAAAACACACTCTTCGAGAAAATATTGGTCTTACAACGCGGGTGGCGAAGCATAGCCCTATGTCTTACACTACTACAATTTTCAAATAAATATAAATTATTCTTAATATAATTAATAGTCTCATAGATGTACATACTTGGGAATGTCATAATATTATAATTTTTAAAATATGGTTTACAACTTTCTATCATTTTTAATTTAAATATTGCTCGGATACATTTTTTTTGTGCTTTAAAAGCTACATCACTATCTGCCGAATTACCCCAAAAAATAATGCAGTATCTTAACAATGAAGCGGCATAAGCATGATATACAGTTAATAAAGTCGAAACATTTACTGTTTTGGCCAACATATGGAGCGCATAAGAAAATTGTCCTAATTTTATGCTTATTTCCTCAATATGCTTTTTCCAATTCAAATTACTATTAATATTGAGCCCTAAAAATTTTGTTACATCGACTTGTTTGATTTGTTTACCATCAAAATTTATATCCAAAGCATTCAGCATATTTTTCCTATGTCTAAAAAACATTAAATTAGTTTTATCCAGATTAATCATGAGCTTATTACAATCTAACCAATCCATAATAATTCCAAGGGTTTTATTAATATCATTCTTTAGGTCGACTGTGTTATTGTTAGCAAAAATTATAGTACTATCATCAGCAAATAAGACCATTTTATGATCAGCAACATGTTTCGGTAAGTCGTTTATATAAATAATAAACAATAGAGGACCCAAGATGCTGCCTTGGGGAACACCTTGGAGAATTTTTTTCGAGTTAGAAGAATAAACAATTTTTTTAAAGTATAGATTCGGCCTCTGTATCGATAATAATGACTATTTCAATAAGATTTTCCAAAAATTATTTAATGTACAGATTCGACTCAGAATTTTATTATATGTATAGATATCTAGTACTTTTCATCAGATATAATATGTATTTATTAAATCATAGTATATTAGCTGTCTTTACATCGCAATTCAAATTGTAAATTGAAAAAGTAAACGTATTTGTGGCAAAATCAAAAATAGTAACATAAACAGCAAAATTACATCACTATTGTTGACTTTGACATCTTTTGGCGAGCTTCATCTACATTATTCTAGTCTGAATAACCAACAAACAGAAATTCATTTTTATCGTGGTTGATCGGGCCTGGAAGAACATAGTAGATACGCTTCCAATTATTGGGTTCCTATTTAATTAATTCTGAGTTCACTTGCGCTACCGGATCCTTCCATCAATGTCGACAGTCAAAAAAAGTCATTCTGAAGCCTGCTCAACTCATTTATAAATACCGTTTTAGACTTTCAGAACATTCAACGGTAATTTTGGATCCAGGCTTGTATTCATGTGACAAGCATAAAGTATAGTTTAAAAATATATTGCAAAATTCTTTGGCAATAATAAATCTATGATTTATTTAAATAACTCAAAATATCTATGTAAATAAATAAGGTATATTATATTTAGATAATTAATCAGTAAGTTTTGTGTATTAATTTGATATCTAGCTTCAAAATTGATGTAAAGGCCTAAAGCTATAAGGAATAAAGCCGAATCTGTATACATTTATATATTTGGCGTGGTTTTTTAAGCGTTCCTAACCTATATGTTAATCCTGAAGCCATCACAGAGTGATCAAGTAACAAACATTCTCTTCTATATACCATTTCGCAATTCAATTTTCTTGTTAATGACTTCAAAGCGTGCCAATTAAGCACATATTACTTCACCAATGTCACGTGGAATCGAGGAGACAGGACGGATATTGGTTATATTGGATACCATTCCTCATACCATATTCTACAAAGTATAAAGTATAAATATCGGGACATTAACACACAGCACGATCTAGTTCCATGGCAAGCTACGAGGCTTGTGTTATGGATACCAGATAGTTGATATAATACACATAAGTATATAACTTTAAATACATACATATTATAAATATAAACACCCGTGACTGGAGTGCAAACATTCTTACTAATCACACAATTGAATGCCCTTAGCGGGACTCGAACTCGCGACCACTGGCACAGCAAGTAGGGTCACTACAAACTGAGACAAACATATTAATTATTATCTAACGGCTCAACTACAAAAGGCGACGAACATTTTAAACCATTTTCGCGTTTGTAACATAGGAATAACCTTACGAAAGCGTAAATTGGTCCTAGTAAAAATAATTGAAAACTTCCTTCCAAGCCAACTACAAATCGTAAGGGATCGTAATGTAAATTAAGCAATAATTAACGAAGTTACGTAATGACTCGCACTTACGTTATTATCGTAACGCAGACGGACGAAACAATTTTCGATATGAAAAAATGTGTTATGAGTGAAATTACTTCGCTATTACGTGCATCATTGTACTAAGGAAATCGGCATAGTTTACATGAATTTCAATATTTATTTATATTTTGCATTTATTATATGTATTTACATAATATTATTATACAAGTATAGATACCTATATATACAGATAAATAAAATTGAAGTGTCTGTTTGTAATGTCAAAATAACACCTTTTTACTAAATTTATATGAAATTATATATACGGTAGTTAAAAGACATTATTTTTTTAAATCTGTCTGTCAGTGTATTTGTTCGGGTTTACCTATGTAAAGAATGGACTGATTTTTACGGAACTTTCACTGGCAGATAGCTGATGTTATAGGGAGTAACTAGGATACTTTTATTTTAGAAAAAAAAGGGCTTAGGGTTCCGCTCAACAAAAATTAAAACGTGTAGGTACGTACGTACACACCCTAGCTTCGCTCGGGTTCAAAAAAATACCATCCCTAAGGATGGAAAAATAGCTAATGAAGAATTTAACCTATTTCTAATTTTCATATTGACTTGAAACTTCACAAGTGTTTCTATTTCCGTTGATAGTGCAGTGTTCGGTATCGTTGACCTGATTTGATGGTAAGGCCAGAAGGTGGATAGGTGGAACTCTTCAACGGCTAATATTAGATACTTTAAGTTTGGACTTATTTTATTTGATTTGACAAGCCCAATACTAACGTATCGGATATCTAACGAATCGGATTTTAGAGCTAGAATTTTTAGTGTTTCTAATAAAACCGAATTTTTGTTTGTCAGTCTTTATATAAAAATTGGCATCAAACTAATTAAAACGGTTTAAGTGAATATTTTATTAAAATCCTTTCTTCTTACTCTGCTACTACTACGAGTATGTCTACACTAAAAAGGAAAAAATAAAACTTTAAAAAATAAAAATAAAAACCGACTTCAAAAAAGCACTAAAAAGTAAAAACTAGGTGATTGGTAGATTTCATTTATACCTCAAGTCAAGAAAGAAGTCAGTGCCGAAGTCAGTTTCGAAGTGCTTTGATTTGTTGGCATTTTTGGATTGATCGGCTGGCACCGACTTAAAGTTTTCATTTATTATTTCTATAAGAATTATTCATAAAAATATATATTTTAAGAAAATTCCAACTATCCTCTATTTGTACATAAAAAAAACTATCCTCCTAAAAAACTACAAGATTTATTTATTTAACTAAAAATAAATATTCACTAAAAGGTCTAACAATTTTCAGATATTCGAAATGTAACATATTAATATTAAAATAAATAATAAAAATAACATATTGATTAATAAATAATAAAAATAACATATTGATTAATAAATAATAAAAATAACATTTTTTGTACAACAAAATCAACTAGAAGCATAAACTAAGTCTTCATTTTATAAAAAAGGAGAAAGAAAATATGCCCTTTTCATAAATTTCACTTAGAAATCACAACAGATTATTTGTCAGAAAGTCTTTCTTTTATATCAAACCGCAACAAAGATGCACCGCAACAATTATAAGTATATAAAGATACTGGAATCGTGTAGGTTTTAGGTGAATGTATTGAAAATAACTAAAATGAAACTATAGGGTTTATATTGTTCTGACTGATCTTTGGTCATGGTGGACATTCGCTCTCTGCACGGTACGTTGTCCATAAAAATATATAAACACTATTGACTCACCCTCGCTCCGCTCGGGTTCGTCCCTGCTTACGTTTTAACTTTATATGAAAAATAAAAATTTCTCAGAGATGAGATGTTTTCCCGCAGTAAAAAGTATAAAATATGTTGACCCGGATAACCAGCTATCATCATACTAAATTTCATCAAAATCCTTCCAGTGGTTTCTCCGTGATACGGTAACAGACAGACAGACAGACAGACAAAAATTCTAAAAACTATATCTCTGTATCGATAAAAATATCTATTTCAATAAGATTTTCCATAAAATATTTAATGCATAGATTTAGCTTAGTTACAATTTTATTATATGTATAGATAACATTTTTGAATAAAAGATTAAATTATGAAAAAATATATGACTTAGGGCTTTCATGTGTTGTTTATAATTTTACATTAATACAAAATGTGATCAGTATTTATCGTCTATTAGTATTATATTGTCTCTGCTTGTGGGCTTTACAATCGCTCACTTATTTTTAACCCCTGACGCAAAAAAAAATTATAAGTTTGACGTGTGCTATGTATCTGTCTGTGGCATCGTAGGGCCAAGCGGATAAACCGATTTTAATTTAGTTTTTTTTTGTTTGAAAGGTGACTTGATCGAGAGTATTCTTAGCTATAAATCAAGAAAATCGATAGATTTAATCGATTCGAAACTTGGTATTCTGTTACTTTAATGACATTACAATGATATGGTAACCTAGGCTTGATGCTGCTGCATCGCCTGGATTCTGAAAGATACTTAACTCTTTACTAAAAATACTACAGAGATGACGTGTTTAGACTCATTGAAATGGCCTCAATTAATAGGCTATTGTGTTGTTTTTATTTTTATTTTTAATTTAAGTGTTATGGTTTATGGTAAACAATAAGAAATTTTAATTTACAGTGACTTGTTTAAAATACTACCTATTACATTAATTACGTAAGTGTCGATTGATCTTGTGATAAACTACAAGCATTTTCTTCGTTTTAGTGCACATCATATCTATACGAATAAAAATGGAAATATTTATTTTTTGTTAATTTGTTTGTACCTAACAGGCTCCGTAACTAAAGAACCGACTTAGATGAAATTTGGTAAGAAAATAGTTTGATACCCTGGAAAGGACATAGGATAGTTTTTTATCCCGGAAATCATCCCTTATGGGGTCCAAAATGGGGATGAAAGTTTATATGGGGAAGCAACCTAAGGACGAAACCGAGCGAAGTGAGGGTGAGTCGCTAGTTATTCATACTTTAATTTCTATTCTGAGCAACATTCTCAATGTTAAAAATCCTATACATTTTATTCTAGAAGTGACATTTTTAACTCTTAAATGAATCTTTGTTGACTATCAATAGATGCTCGTAGGTTTCTCATCATAAAGCGAAGGCGATATTGCTCATTTAAAATGTAAAGTCATATTTTGCGGCTTTTACGGTTATTAAAGTACAGGTATTATAGCAATAGAAATTATGTGAATAAGCTCCTATTGGAGATCATATTCAAATTCTTTATCGTTTGTTTTATTGTTATATGTATTCAGCCCTTTTTAACGGGCACGGGCCTCCCTTCAATACGAGAGGGAGGGACTTCACATGTCTTTCAAAAACTTGCTAGGTTCTCTCAGACATGCAGGTTTCCTAACGATGTTTTCCTTCACCGTAAGGCAAGTGATAATCATGTTAGAAATGATTCGCACATGGAAATATCAGAGATGCGAGACCGGCATTTGAACCAGCTTCACTCGGTTTCCCAAGCAAGCGCGTTACCACTGGGCTCCATTACCCATAAATATACAAATATATTTAATATTTGATTAAATTTAAACACGCAACAATAGTAAAAGAGTATAAAAGTACTTAAACTTATACTAACTAGGATCGTTAATTTTGTAATTTTATTTCTTTCTATAACAATAAATGCCACATATTGCACAGTAAGGAAATTATAATAAAACAATATATTAGCTTCTATATGTATGAAAAAGATAATAATAATAGATATATCTACTAAATGGATAGTAAAAGCTAATATTTATTTTATTGCCCTTAGGCAACCGTCTTAGTACGCCGTCGCCTTAGTACCGTCGTGAAATGGCGACTTATTTATTTATTTACGACCATTTATGGAATAAAATCACATAAAAAATCCAAAGAAAATATATTTATGATAAGTGATAACCATATAGACATCCTATAGCTATACTATTAAACGAGCATAATTTGTATGAATTTTGTAATGTAAGGGTTTACGGGGGCAAAAATCGATCTAACTAGATCTTATATCTGGTAAAATTCGTTTTCTCCGTATTTTCACGCAAAATGATTAACCCTCACAATATGATTCGTAATTTCGCCGCCGCCGCCCCCGTCTGAATAGCTACGCCGAAGGTCAGAAGTTTCTGTTTATCTATACATATAATAAAATTGTAACTAAGTCGAATCTGTACATTAAATATTTTTTGGAAAATCTAATTGAAATATACATTATTATCGATACAGAGTCCGAATCTATAATTTTTAGAATTTTTATCTGTCTGTCTCTCTGTCTGTCTGTCCGTCCGTCCGTCGGTCCGTCCGTCCGTCCGTCTGTCTGTCTGTCTGTTACCGCATCACGAGAAAACCACTGGACAGATCAGATTTTGATGAGTTTTGGTATGATGATAGCTGGTTATCCGGGTCAACATATAGGATACTTTTTACCGCGGGAAAATATCATATTTTTGAGAAAAAATACAAAAACTGCATTGTAAGAGTATACTAATATGTAAAACCTAAGAATTTGGTTTTTGGTCATCTGAACGCGGGCGGAGCCGCGGGTAATGCTAGTATTTTTATAATATTAATGAGCAATTTTTGTATATATTTATTTATATAGGTATATTTTCCGAATACATGCAATTTTATATGATATATATTTGAAACACAAAAAAAGCGCCGAACGAAGCTCGGTCGCCTAAACTAGATAATAATGTGCCTACCATCTGACACGTATCTACGGCTGATACCAATCTCATATTTATGTTAAATCTTTCGACTATAAATAAAAAAAAAATTGTTACTTTTGAAATAATATAACAAATCACGATTGCTCAGTGCTAAGTGTAGCGTATACAAAAGACATAAACGTGCTCTCAGTTTTGATTTTATCTCTTTTTTTACGAATGTTACACTGCCATCTATTAGAAGTTTGTAAGACGCGAATTTAAATACGTTCCATTTTACGGTAAGACATTAGTCATTTACATGAATCTTTTTATTACAAAAATTAATTTCTCCCAGAAAACCTTTATGCATAGTAATAATATCATTAAAAACTATATACTATCTCAGTAATGAAGTTAAGTTTTACTATTTTGAATTAAGTACTACTGTTATAAACAAACAAAATCATAGCATACTCCGTCGCTAGAAACGCATTATACTGAAAGTCAAATTTCATGTTGAAATGTTATGTTGATGTTGTTCTTGTTTCATGTTTGTAATTTGTATTTTTAATTTTTATTTTTTGAGTATTGACCCGTGTATTTTTTACTTGATGGACGGTCAATTTAATATTTCTTTGCCTTATTAACCTTATTTTTAAATAAACTATTTAAATTATTGTCTCTCCATGTGATCTACTGACGAATCATTAAATTTAAAGAATTTAATAAAATAAAGAAATGCGTTGTAGAGTCATAAATAAATAAATAAATTACAATGGCTAGTAAAGAAAATAAAAGTGTTGAAACTGGCACTAGCGATTTACCTGGACCTAGTGACCCACCAGTTATAAATGAAGAAGAGAAAAAAGTCAACGATATGTTAAAAAATCGCTTAAGAAAATATATTAAAAAATTGGATGGTATGCGTTAGATGGTTTTAATGTGATATTTATTGTCCTTTGCTTGAGTGTTATTCATATTAATATTTTTTTGTAGATACAAATACAAGTACAACTAAAGAAGAGAGTGAAAAAGTGGAATTAGAAACATTTAAACAGTTATATAAACCAAAACTCGAAGGAGATAAGGAGACTTACAAAAAAATACCCAAATTTTACTTTAAGTTACCTCGACCTGAAGATGTCTTAGCACAAAAATTAAGAGAAGAAACAAGAGCTCAATTTTTACAAAAGAAAAGTAAAGAGTTGTTAGATAACAGTGAATTAAAATTTTTATGGAGCCTTCTTGAAAAATCAAATGGTAGTTATAGTATGGCGAATAGTGATGAGCTTACTGTTGATTATTTACAGTTCAAAAAGATTAGAGAAGAAGCTGGCCCTAAGTATAGGTATATTTACATATTTAACTAAGTCCAATTACTTATATAATACTACTTGTACTAAGGCACATTTTATTTTTTATTGAAACAAAAATCAACTTTTTTTAATACTAATTTTATATCCGCTATTTTAATAAATATCATATTAAATCATGTATAAATATTTATACAAGCCATGTATAATAATATTTGCCGTTAGATTGTAATGTAGGAGTGTATACATATACACATAATACATAGTTTGTTATTATAACTATCAAAAATTAAAAAAATATATATGAACATAACAATTTCTAGAGTTTATAATATCTCAGTTTTCAGATTAGCAGAAGCTAAACAAATATAACACTTTTCAGCCCATATTTTACTGCAGAAGTCTTTGGTCGCCTTCAAGCAGCAGAAGGAGGAGTTGGGAGAATAAGGGGGGTGTCTTTATTTAACTATGTGATGCGTCGGGTTTGGTTGCAACAAACTAGAATTGGACTGTCCCTATATGATGTCACTGGGCAAGGATATCTTACTGAACATGTAGGTTTACATTATTTTGATATTTTGTACAAAAAATATGCACACACAAAATTTATGTGCATATTTGTAATTTCATAGATATTTGAATGAAACCAAAGTAAAATGGAAGCTAGTAATAAAAATTATATTAGAAGAATTTTTAATAATTCTCAGATCAATATTATAAAACAGCAAATTGTTTTTTTAAGAATGTGTTGCAGGTTTTATATGAAAACCCATAGACACCCTTTGGCACATTAAATTACAGACTAAGGTAACCAAACGAAGGACACAACACCTTACACCAATAAATGAATTCTAATTTTATGAATTTGAGACTCATTGTAAAAAGTCTAATCAGGACATAATATAGATATTAAATAATAATAACAATAATTTAATCATTTATTTCAGGATTTAGAAAGCTACATTGCAGAACTTGTACCATCTTTAGCTGCATTGGATGGTTTAGATTCATCGTTCACGTCATTTTACGTGTGCACGGCGGCGAGGAAGTTCCTGTTCTTCCTCGACCCTCTGAGGGTCGGCCGGGTCAGGATCAGGGATGTGCTGTCCTGCTCTTTCTTGGATGATTTGCTGGAGGTAAGAAAGCGATAGATAGCTTGTGTCTTCACGTCTTTATTTGAATTGTGTTTTTTTATTAGAATGTGAAAGATATCCATACTAATATTATAAATGTGAAAGTGTGTTTGTTTTTTTTGTCTTTCTTTCACGTCGAAATGGCTTGGCGAAATGGCGTGATTTTTTGTGTGGAGATAGTTGGAGGGCTTTTTTTTTGTTGACGCTTGGGAAACCCATCATGGGGACCCTGCCCGCCGTCATAACGGAGTGAGACTCCTACTCACTAAAACCCACAGCGGAACCCGTCACCGCAGTGAAATGGGGCGTTGCAGGATCGCTTGCGCATTCACTACAAGATAGTTGGAGGGCTGGAGAGTGACATAGGCTACTTTTTACCCCGGGAGATTATCTCTTTCTTATGGGAAAGTAAAAGTCATATTAATAAAAAGTGCATGTACAAGGATATGGATTAGTGTCCGAATTCGACTCGCACTTGACCGATTTTATTATTATTCATACAGATAAATAAAAATTGAAGTGTTTGTAATGTCAAAATAACAGCTGTTTACGAAATGTATATGCATTTATATACTTATAAGTAATAAGAAAAACACAACTTATTAAATTTTTGTCTGTCGGTTTCTGTTTGCTTGTTCCGGCTAATCTCCGAAACAGTTGTACTAATTTTGACGGGATTTTGACTGGTAGATAGCTGATGTCATAAGGTGTAAATTCGGCTACTATTGTTTTAAAAAAATATAAAAAAAAAATTAAACGTACCTAGAGACGCACCCAAGTAAGTGAGTGTGCCTCAAGAGTAAAGTCATTTATTCATTCATTTATTCGTTCAATCATTCATTCATTTATCACTTATCTATAACCAGTTACGTGAAGAAGATCTGCCCATGGAACTGCAAGAGCAGAACTGGTTCAGTGCGGCCTCCGCGTTGCGTGTGTACGGACAGTACCTCAACCTGGACAGAGATCACAATGGAATGCTTAGCATTAATGAGTTGGCTGGGTAGGTGCAATGTGAATGTTTTATTCGGTAAATATCGTCGTCAAGTGTTTATTTGTCCATACGACCAATTTAAAGAAAGAGTTTTTATTACAGAATTATCGACTTTTAAAAGCGGTCGCGGGTTCGAGTCCCGCTGGAGGCATTCATTTGTGTAATGAGAAAAATGTTTGTACTCCAGTCATGGGTGTTTATATTTATAATATGTATGTATTTAAAGTTATATATGTGTAGTATATCAACTATCTGGTATCCATAACACGAGCCTCGTAGCTTACCATGAAACTAGATGGTGCTGTGTGTTCATGTCACAACATATTTACTTATTACTTGTTTTAAACTCATTCTGTACAATTTCCCTTATAGTTACGGTTCAGGAACACTAACAAGGGCTTTCCTCCAGCGAGTGTTCCAACAGTGTCTCACGTATGATGGCGAGATGGACTACAAGACTTACTTGGATTTAGTGCTGGCGTTAGAGAACAGGCGGCAACCGGCTGCCTTGGCATATCTGTTCAGAGTTCTAGATATCAATTCTCAGGGATATTTGGATGCTTTCACACTGAATTATTTCTTTAAGGTGAGTTCTTGTTTTTGGTGATTTATGGTCATAATAATTGTATTTTTGTTTTTAGTATTGTTATGTGTATTGTAAAAAAAAACTCCGACGAGTCTGTTTGTCTGTCTGTCTGTCTGTCTGAACGCGGTAAATTTTAAAACTACCAAACAGATTTTCATACAGTTTTAACCAATGGACGGTGTAATTAATTAGGTATATAATTTATTATGGTTCTATGGAAATATGACTATGATTGTTGAAGATGTCGACAAAAATCATGCCGACTAGGAGTTTTACTGGTGTGCGCCGCATTAACCAATAGCTATAAGCCTATATGAAAACAATGTATTACGGAATTAGTCGTATCTACCTACGCTAGTCTATTCAAATAAATAAAACTAATGTGTCGGCTTCTAATGTCAAAATACCAGTTTTTTACTAAATGTATATTATATACAGTACTTGTAAGAACTGTTTTTAAATGTTTGTTAGTCTGTCTGTTTATACCGGCTAATCTCCGAAACCGTAGGACCAATTTTGACGTGACTTTCACTGGCACATAGCTGATGTCATAAAGAGTAACTTAGGCTACTATTATTTTTGAAAAACAATTAGGGTTCTTGCAAAAACATTAAAACCCATGAAATCGGTGAACAAAATCCGCGTAGCTAATGCCCTAAGAAAGCAAGGGTAAGCCCGCTAGTTTAAAATAAATGTCATTGCCAAACAGGCGATACAAGAGCAAATGGTGGCGCACGGCGCCGAGCCCGTCAACTTCGACGACGTGAAGGACGAGATATTCGACATGATCCGCCCCGCGCACCCCGCGCGCATCACGCTGCACGACCTCGTGCGCAGCGGACACGGACACACCGCCGTCTCCATCCTGCTCGAGCTGCACGGCTTCTGGGCGTACGAGAACCGGGAGGCGTTGGCCGCGGCGGGGGATCACGCTTGACGCTTTTGTCAAGTTGTTCGTGTTGATGTGGGATGATTGTTGTTCTCTCTTTTTTGTTGTTGTTCCATTGTCTTTATAAACGTGTCAGTTGTGAGCAGATTTTCGCCAACGTCACGTAGAATGGAGAATATATAATTATTTAAAAAACTAGTACGATTTGTAAGCAAAAGAAACAAGACAGACAAACTTTTATGTATAGATTATATTTGTGTAACTACGTCATTGGTATTCGTGGCTTACAAATGAAGTTTTCTTTTAGGAAAACCTTAAAAACAGTCCTCAATAACAGGAGGGCTGATTTTATCGCGAATATATTTTTTTGTCCCACCGAGTGTATTGTCCCGTGTGAACGTGTTGTGGTGTAGTGGCTATCATGTACATCTGCACACCCGGAGGTCCTAGGTTCGAGTCCCGGGTCGGGCCAAGTTTAGTTATTGAGTCTTTCTGTATATTAAGCCTCAATAACAGCCCGGAGTTGGGAAGTTGGCGGTGTTTCACCCCCGTGCCTCGGAGCGCACGTAAAGCCGTCGGTCCTGCGCCTTAACTCTCACTGGTCGTGTCTCGCGTCGTCCCACCGGAGTATGAGAGTGACAGGAATAGAGAGTGCACGTTGTGTCTGCGCGTACACTTGTGCACTATAATATCTCCTGCGCAGTTGGCTAGTCTCAATGAGATTGGCCGCCGTGGCCGGAATCGGTCGGGAGAACATCATTGTCTTGTGCAGTTTACTAAGAGATTGCCTGCCGTGGACGAAATAGGAAAGATATTATTATTATTCCCACCAATTTTTTAACTTAAATATCGTCTAAAAATCGCCTTTGTGCACGTTCTTCATACTTTGTCTTTCTATATTGTTACAGTGTTCTAGAAGCCATTGAACATAAGAATTGAATTGATTGTAAATCCCTCCGCGACCGCGGACACGTCGGCGTGTCAGTTAACAATAGATTTCTTAGAATTTTAATCAATTTCTTAGAAATTTACCTGTAGATGTTAATACTGTGGTATACAAGATAGTGTATATAAATAAATAAATCATTTATAGAATAAGATTAAATTTAAATAGTTCACATTTTATGACATGAATTATTGTTTAGTTGATGTAAAATTGATTTGCTTATTTATGGTCTATAGCTTGATTAATTGTATGGACTTATGTAGCTAGAAAATATGCAAAATAAAATAGATTGTTTTATATTGATTTATTATAAAAGATTGGTTGATACTATAAAAAAAATTCTTTGGTGTATGATGGAGAAAGGTGAGAATTGGATATTTATATACTTAGGTTTGTTATTGGCCGAAATTATATGGAAAAATGTGTGGTTACGTTCTAGTGCCTTTACTATATTATAAGAATAATCTCAATGTCTATGTCAAGTTAGTATGTAAATAATTTTGTGTACAGTACAATTGGACGTAGTTATGCAAAATGAATTCAGCCCTCGAAAACCGCTTTTTGAGTTACTGTCATAAATGGCACCTACATATCAACTTACATACAGAAAGTAGAATAAATACCCAATACTTAAGAAGAATTAAAAAAAACGACGGTCTTGTTATTTTGATATATGTACCAATTTTACTAAAACTCTTTTTTTCTCCAAAGTAAGTTTTTGTGGTTGGATCTATTTTGCATAACTACGTCCAATTTAGAGTGTATTTTTTTAATAAAAAAACGTAGAAATAAATATACGTAGAAGGAACGCCAATTGCCATTGTATTATGATAAATAAAGAACTGATTTGATTTAATACGCTTTAATTTAATAATTCTTAAAAAATAATAAAAATATATGTTTCAAATACTAATGATCTAACAAATGTATAATAACATTCTATATATTCTGTGCGTAACATTTTAAAGCTACTGGCAACACCACCACCGAAAACATCGTATTTTGTACTTTTTAATATCATTTCATTTAAAATGCATTCAAGACTAACTACAAAAGTTTTTAATAGCAACACTTTGTATTTAATTCACACATTTAATGCTTATCTTAAAAAATAATTAATCAACAAACCCGTTCAAAAGTTAACAATAGAGGAAATAAAAAAAACTTAAACTAATTTGTGCAAATACAAGCAAATATTGTATAAAAATAAAATATGTAAATTATTATATTATTAAACAGAAAAAAATGTAAAGCCAAAAAAACATATCAATAAAAGAGATGGCGCATATTAAAAATAGTTTGGCTTATTTTGTACATATTTAATTAAAATTATTATGATTTATAAACCGCAATTGATCGACCTGAGATAGCTTGAACATGTGAAACGTTATGATGTTAAAAAAAATATGTAAACAATATCCTTTATTTTCGACGTCACATACTAGTGGCGCCATCTGACTCACCATTGGTTAAACTTTGAAAATATTTAAACGCGAAATTTTCTATAATATTAACAGATTAACTGTCCGTAAAATAGACACAATAGTTAAACAATCGAAATGGTCATATATGACTCATGGGACAGGGGAACGGTTAAGTGAGTGATGTGTAAAATTATGGTTTGCTAATTCATACAATTGTCCATCAAAGGCATCAAGGGGCTTTAGAGGTAAGACGGGTAAGTCCGTATAATATATAGAGAGTGGACTGTTTCTTTGCCGGAATAGCGGAAAGGCGCGACAGAGACAAAACGAATGTGCGGTCAAAAGATCTCTGTATTAATTGAGATACTATTACATATATGACGATTTTAAATTCCATTATAATATTATAATTTTCAAATTCCATTTATAAAGTCAATTTGGAAAAAGACAGGTATTGGCCGCACGTTCGCTTTCTCTCTTTTGTGATAGTATTGCTCAGCCTATTCTCTACGTCTATGGACGCACCCGACTATCATAGTTACTTGTATATGCCAGTCGGGAGACGGTTTTAGGGTTGTCGGATATAACCAAAAGTTGCCACAAGCACTACAGTGCTTTAACTTCGAAACCACTCGGCATTGAAATTGATATTTTGACAATCCTTGCATTTGACAGCGTTTCCGTTAAAACCAATGGGCGATCGCCTACTCGTCTCAATGTTCATTTGTCCAAACGACCAATTTACCGGAAAAGTCAATTCTATTGTTATTTAATACACATTTTACTTTAAAAAAAGCTGACAAATTTATTTTATCTATATATGTATATAAATTTTAGAAATAAAGCTTTGTTTTTATAATAGAGGGAAAAAACTCTACTGTAAAGTACAAGTATTGGTGGTTTGAACAAATAAACACTAACGCTACGTACTATATTGTTTTACATATTTTAGAACTGTGATAAAATCGTGTATATATCAACTATACTGACTCTTGAGCACTTCTGTATTCGAACACGCTACCACGTTCAATGAATTCACTATATGTTTTATCTTGTTGTGTGAGCGCTTGTATGGAGTCCGAACGCCCGTAGCCTCCTCCGCTTGGCGAATTCATGATGTACTTATCCTATACAATAATATTAGTTTAATATTTTTATATATACATAATAATATAAATCGTCATTAATAAAATAATTCATTTACGAATAAATATCGAACATTTTAAGCATATTATTTAATTAATTTAGCTTTGCTTTATCCTTTACAGTAAAGCCCTAAAACTACCATAATCTAATTGGACCTTTTTTTACCCGATATGTTTCAAACAGCACCATCTTTTGGCAATTTTTATAAGTCTCACTGTTAAAAAGTTCTATGACACTGTCTTTATTATATCTATGGAGGGTAGACCCTCCATAATTATTTCTTAGTTTGAGTTATATACATACAAACTTTTGCATCTTTAATAATATTATTTATCATACTATATTAAACATAAGAGTTACCCCAGGATAAGCTTCCACAGAGGCCTTCCCTCCAAGGTTGATGAGTCTACCGTCAGCTCTTTGAAGAATATTCAAACCCCTTTCTCCCGGTTCTCCACCTTGATTATTATATTTGCATCAATATATTTTTTAATATTAATACATTATTGTCATATTATATGTGTATTAACTTCCACGATGGTGTAGTGGCGAGCATGTACTGAACATCTGGAGGTCCCGAGTTCGAGGCTCGGGTCGAGCTAAGTTTAGTTATTAGGTCGTTCTGTTTAGTAAGACCTAGTAACAGCCCGGAGTTGGGAAGTTGGCGGTGTTTCACCCCCGTGCCTCGGAGAGCACGTAAAGCCAACGGTTCTACGCCTTAACTCTCAACGGTAGTGTCAAGTAATCGTTCCACCAGAGTATAAGAGTGACAGGGATTATAGATATTTAGCGCATTCACGCATGTATATATGTATCACATATCAATTTTATAATAATACTAGCGACTTACCCTCGCTTTGCTTCGGATTCGTCCCTAGATGAAAACAAATCAAACCCACGAAAACCATATATTTAATATAATACATATAATATAATAGTCTATACGCTTCCATTAAGTATGTAGGAAATTTTCAAATCGGAAAAGAAGTTCCTGAGATTAGCGCGTTCAATCAAACAAACAAGCAGACTGAGCCTCTTTATAATATTAGTATAGATTATAATTAACATTACCATTCATCCCATAAGGCTGGAAGGCCCTACGTTCGGTGAGGACCGAGAGCTGGACTGTTCTTCTAAACACTAACTCTCTTGTTAACCCATCGCCGCCATTCCATTGACCTGCATATTCAATTGACATTTATTAAACTAAGAAATTATACTAAGCTATTTCATCCCCATTTTCACCTCATTAAGGGATGATGTCATTCCCAGGGTCTCAAACTATCTCTAACCAAATTTCATCTAAATCGGTCCAGTAGTTTTTGAGTTTATTAGTCACAAACTTACAAAAAATAGGCAGTGGTAGCCCAGTGGTAACGCGCTCGCTTGAGAAACCGAGTGAAGTGGGTTCAAATCCCGGGTCTCGCACCTCTGATATTTTCATGTGCGAATCATTTCCAACATGATTACCACTTGCCCTTACGGTAAAGGAAAACGTCTTGAGGAAACCTGCATGTCTGAGAGAACCTAGCAAGTTTTCGAAAGACATATGAAGTCCGCCAACCCGCACTTGGCCAGCGTGGTGGACTATGGCTTGATCCCCCTCGTATTGAAGGGAGGCCCGTGCCCAGCAGTGGGACGTTAAAAAGGGCTGAATGCAAACATACAAAAATATAAATCTTTCCTCTTTATAATAGTAGTGTCGATTAAATGTTTTTTATTTATTAAGATTATTTCTATTGCGTATTCAGCCCTTTTCAACGTTTTTATGACCTAGAAATCCTACCCCCAAGCTAAGAAAAAACTTTTTTTTCATCCACCCTATTAAGTAGAAAAGCAACACTCGCCTCGTCCCCCGGAACCGTCCCTCAGCATGAACTTGGTGACCAGTATCGGGTACCTGGTCTCTACTATCTCTATATCGGTGATGCGCGTGTTGGTCATGTGCGTGTGCACGCCGCCCGCGCCCCGCCAGCCTGGACCCTGGATATTAAAAGACATGTAAGATCCGAGGACATTTATAAGATATCGACTATTTAAATTAGACCACTTCTTAGATTTACTGGCCCTTCTTAGATTTACACGAATATTTGACATTTTAAATAAAAGTTTCTTCTTTTTCGGATTATTGAATGCTTTACAGCAATGATGGTCACGAGAGAGACTAAGGTTTTAGACGTCTCAAAGGTGTTATATACTTGTTTACAGACAGTGCCTACCCGCTATTGCATTGTCTGTAGCAAGTATATCAGTCTTTGAGACGTCCCATGGAAGGATCTAATAGTAAATATAAATGTATTAACTCACAGCACCGCTGCCTCCCGCTACGGTCTCGTAATAGCCCCAGTTCGCTTCTCCCAAAGTCAAATTGTTCATACAGCCTTGGGACGCCGCGCACACCTGTTATATATAATAATATGAAAGGTTGAATTATTTTGTTTTTGTGAAGGTATGTATGTATATAATTATGTATGTATGTACATTGTATATGTTTATGTACATGTGAATATATTGCAAAGTTAGATTTGCGAGTCTTTCCAAAACTCGGCTGGGTTCTCTCAGACAAGCAGGTTTGTAATAAAAATATCAAAGGTCAAACCCGGGATTTGAAGCTTTACTTAATTTTCCAAGCGAGCGCGTTAATACTGGGCTATCACTGCCTTTTTATATGTTTATAAGTGTATACCTGAAAAGCTTTCAACACAACGTCAACAATCCGCTGTGATGTGAGCACGTTGCCGCCGACCACTGCTGCGGTGTCCGACGGGTCTAGGATAGAGCCTGGTGGTATGATCACTTGTACTGGGTTCAAACAGCCCTATAAGAAAAAACATAATTTGTGTTATTAGATAATCGCTACATATTACAAATTTAAGTCTATCTGTTTGTCTGAATGGATGAACTCAAAAAATACCGAACAGATTTTCATACGATTTTCACAAATGGACGGAGCGATTCATGAGGAAAGTTTAGGTGTATAATTCATTAAGGTTTAGTGTAAATTAGCTGAAATATGACATTGATTGTTAAAGATGTCGGACAAAATAAAGCCGCGTACACAAATAGAATTATATGAAATAATGTTTATGGAATTATTCCTCTTAAAAGATAAAAGATCTGTTAAACCGTAGCAACGCCATATGTACTTAGAACGCACCCGAGCGAAGCAAGTGTTAGTCACTAGTTACAAAGAAATTTCGATGGAAGCTGGCATTATTAATCCGCCATTTTAAGCGTCTGAAACGTTGGGCCTTACAAGTATCACGTTTTCGACCGATATTATTATGAATTTTGAAGGTAAAGATTGACATTTGAAAACGATAACAATTACATAGCCAAGTCAAATTTTAAGACATTTACTCGTATGTAAATATGTGTATGTATATATATATATATATATACATATGTACATACGATACAATAACCCGAGAACTGCTGGACCAATTATCTTGGTTTTTGATATGTTGGATTTGTCTTCGTCCCGAAAATAGTAGAATGACTATTAAAGCATCGGAAAATTTTACTAAAAAAATTTGAAAAAAACGGGCGAAATTGAGCGAGGATGAGCCACTAGTTTAAAGTAAACTTACAGACAATCAAACACTTTTAAATAATAAGTTTGATATACCTGATTCAAGGGTACGTCGTATCCCACCATACACCTTAAGCAGTATATTAAAGCGGATAGAGTGATAGCTCGTGGTGCGTTCAGATTGCCCCAAACCTCTACGCCGGTACCTCTGAAAAAAGTGTACAGAAAATTTTATATATGATATGTACAATTAAAAGTGCGAAATTCTGTATATGTTTATATTTATTTGTATGGGTCTTTTTTTTATTTCTATGGCTATATAAAGGCTCAGTTAAGTCGTAAATAATTACTGTGTATCGTCTTAACAAATATTAGGCACCAGTGTTTTCCTCTCCTGGTAACTGGTAGGTTATCTGACAGCAGAGTGGACCGTGGAAGCAACCCCTTGGTTGTTGTTGTTGTTCGACAGACCAGCCTTTCGTCGTCGTGATCGAGTGCGTTAACTATCCTGCGACACCCCATTAAGAAGGGGGAGGTTTTGTTGGGTTTTGGTGGGCAGTACTGGCTTTTCTAGCCGGTGAGTCCCACATAACCACCTGTATATACGCAGGTGGTATGCGTATATTTTCCAACGTTAAAAAAGGTGCCAGTGGTTAAGTTTATCAATACGTACGTAAAATCACACACAGCACCGCCGAGTGCCTCATCCAGAGTAACTGTTAGCACTATGGGAGTGCCGTTGTCCATATACTCCGTCGCCTTGAGAACTGCTGATCCCGTCTTCTCTATGGCTTGTTTTGCTATTTCCTATAATTTGAATAAAGTAAAAGTATAAGGAGGAAAATTGTTTTTTTTGTTACTTTGTAATCAATAAACTATAAAAATACTGATCAAATTAAATAATTCTTTCACGATTAAAAAGCTTATTTGAAAGTAACATAGACTATATTTTATTTTAGTAACAATAAATATTCACACTAATATACCACCCAGGATCATTAGTCTTCTGTATATAAATGAAAATGATTGTTCGTATGTTTGTCCTAAATACAATTATTACATTAAATTAAAAAAAAATATTAATAAAAGTGTTTGTTTTAACTTTGTTTTTTACCTTTAACATGTCTCTAACAGCTAATTCGGCATTTTTTTGAATATGTCCCATGTACGCTTGGACCACATCCAAATTGTATTCTTCTATCAGTTCAGATACCAATTGGATTCCCTGAAAATATACTAAAATCATATAATACTTTCTGAGATTTACTCAAATATTTGACATCTATACATATAATAAAATTGTAACTAAGCCGAATCTGTACATTAAATATTTTCTGAAAAATCTTATTGAAATAAACATTATTATCGATACAGAGGCCGAATCTATAGTTTTTAGAATTTTTGTCAGTCTGTCTGTTACCGCATCACAGAAAAATCACAGGAGGGATTTTGAATAAAATTTGGTATGGTGATAGCTGGTTATCCGGGTCAACATATAGGATAGGATAGGACTTTTTACCGCGGGGAAATATCTCATTTTTGAGAAAAAATACAAAAACTGCAATGTAAGAGTATACTAATATGTGAACGCGGGCGAAGCCGCGGGCAGTGCTAGTTTTAAATAAAACTATCTTTTCGGATTTTTTTAGCGGATTTATTTTGTATTTTGGTTTCCGACGTTTCGAATACTTACAGCAATCATGGTCACGGGAGAGACTGAAGACTATGTCTAAATCCGAAAAGGTAGTTTTATTTAAAATATTAAAATCATAAATAAAGTCTTAATAGATTATTTATGAAAAATTCAAAAAAGTATGTATTCAATTAGTGATTTTATTTTATTTTGTTTAATGAATAGGTAATGATAAATGAAAAGAAAATGAGTCATTTTTTAAAGCGATTTCTTCTATTAATTCGGTGAATAATTAAGTTAAAAAGTAATTATTCCATATGGACTCATTTTAGGGAGTTTTTTTTTCTTCATTAAATATGAGAAGTAAAATTTAAAAAAAGTAGAATTAAAGGCCTTTATTGTTTTTGAAGATAATAAAGGTTTTTTTTAATTATGCTAAAATAGTTTTAAATACGTGTACAGCCTACCCGTTGGTTTGCGGCAACTTGGGCTTTCAAATCTGACAGATTGTCACTTAAGTTTCGTGTTCCAGAACATCCCGGTACTTTCCCTGGTTTCATGAGCTCTAAGAAAGAAAATAAAAAGATTGAATACTATCGTTATAGAAAAAATTATAGGTCATCTCAGGTCGATACACAAAGAAATAGTTATATAACCCACTAGCTATCACTCTTTGCCAGCGTTTTCGCTTCATAAGTGCGTGCAATAATATATCACTTCACTCGAGTGAAGCGAGGGTACCTTACAGTGTAGTCATGGTATGTGCTACCCCGGTCATAAGCTGTGTATTTTATTTCATCTTAATCCGTCCAGTCCTTTGAACGTGAAGTAACAACCCTCTTCCTTCAACAGCAATGTTGACTTGAAATCAGCGTTCTCTAGCGAGAACGCATAGAATATGTCGTCTAATATAACAAACTAGTGACTTACACTGGCTTCGCATGAGTAGGAACCTAAAAGCCCAACAGTACATACATAGATAAACAGTTACCAGGTTTATCTGTATACTAAATTTTACTCAAATACATCCAGGCGTATCCATCCATCCAGGTGTATAAAACAGACACACACACACATACAATGCCAGTACAACCACTCACCCTCAACCAAGAGATCCTCCTGGAAGCTCCCGCCATCCACCAGCAGCATGGAGCTGAAGGCGGCGCCCTCCTGCGCCAGCGCGGTGGAGTGCGGCGGCATGGAGCCCGGCGTCAGCCCGCCGATGTCGGCGTGATGGCCGCGGGACGCCACGAAGAATATCGGTTTGGTGTTCGATCTGGGTTAATACAAACAGACAACAGTAGTTTCATAATCTATACATATAATAAAATTCTAACTGAGTCGAATCTGTACATTAAATATTTTTTGGAAAATCTTATTGAAATAGATAGACATTATTATCGATAGAGACCGAATCTATAGTTTTTAGAATTTTTGTTTATCTGTCTGTCTGAGAACGCATCATGTGTAAACTACTGGACAGATTTTGATGAAATTTGGTATGATGATAATTGGTTTTCTGGGTCAACATATACGTTCAAAATAAACTTTATAGTCGATCTTTGCCTCTTCGACTTGTGCAAATCGGCAGATTATTGAATTGCACACTTTTCAGAGCGTAATTAGCCCACCATACCTTAATCTGACGGTTTCAAGTATTTCTACCTTATCGGCTACCCTAGACGCGCGCCCTTATATTGTTAATCTGCCGCGCTTGAGTAACTGCAAAAATCGCCTCTTGGATTCCCCTACCATTATTAATTTCTTCTTAAAATAGATTTTCAATCACGAAAAAAAATCTTAAGAATAATATTTCTTTAAAATATAACATACATACAAATAAATAAATAAATTTAATAGGCCTCAAAGTGGTCCTTCCCTTATCCCCAAAAGAAAACCATAAACAAAACAATAAACTTACTTGTGAAACACGGGAGTGATTACAGTAAGGTCTGGCAAGTGAGAGCCTCCTGCTTTGGGATGATTGGCCAACAACACGTCACCTGCCTTTAGAGAATCACCACGAACTTTGATCTAAAATTAAGATATATTATCAGTATAATAAACATTCTGATTTTATGCAGTATACTGTATTAATAAACTACTAGTTCAGTAAAGAAATTTTCAATATCTAATCTTGTTAATTTTGTATTTTTTATCATGTACTATAATAATTCCATAATATTATGAATGCTATGTACACTTGTAATTGATATGCGTGTCTGTTTCTTTTTTTACTTTAATTATTGTATTGAATTGTTTTAACATGTGTATTGTGTGCTTTATCTTCTATACTTATAATAAATCTGTAGAGGTCAATTCTGTACATGAAATATATTTCCAAAATAACTATCAGGGGGTGATTAGGGATCGATACTGATGCCAAAAATGCAATCAGTAAAATTTTTCTGTCTGCCTGTCTGTCTGTCTGTATAACCGTTATAGAAACAAAAACTACTCGACGGATTTTAACGAAACTTGGTACAATTATTTTTCATACTCCTGAGCTGGTTAAAGTATACTTTTCATCACGCTACAATCAATAGGAGCAGAGCAGTAAAGGGAAATGTTGGGAAAACGGGAGAAGTTACTCCATTTTTTAAGCTTCCGTCGCGTGTGCAACCTTAATGGTTAAAGCTACACAGAAATCATGTATGACGGAAATGTTCTCCTTAAAATTATATAAAAAATATCCCACGACAGCATATGTCTATCTTTTATGGTTGACTCACAATAACACGTGTAACTCCTGATAGCTTAGCAGTTCGAAGCTTTCTGATTTATATTTGTCTACTCTTACGTTTATAACACTCTCAGTCATCCCTAATTAAAAAAGTTAACATTATAAACTATTCCATAAAAAAGAATCATAGAAATCGGTATAGAAACACCAAAGTTATACATGAAATACGCTAATAATAAGCCATCGCGAGTCAGGGGGATGTAAGAAGACAAATAGAACAAATCCAGATTTTTTCAATTTTTTTGTTTCTGTCTGTTTGTCTGTTTGTACGGGCTAATCTCCGAATCTATTGGACCGATTTAAATGAAATTTTGCATGGTGGTACCTTATATCCCCGGACAACGTCTTAGTTATTTTTTACCCCGGAAAATTAAATGGTTCCCGTGTGATAGTTAAAAAACTATTATAACTTATACAACTTATGCACCTAATTTAGTAAAATTTAACATTCTGATACCTTATATTGCCGGTCAAACAACAGGTTACTTTTCATCCGGGAAAAATGAACGGTTCCCGTGGGAACTAATAGATTTCTATTAGTGTTTTTCTAGAGGCAACCCGAGCGAAGCGAGGATGAGCCGCTAGTAATGAATAAATAAATAAATATCGATCACGTCAGTCTTCGTTCTAATTCGTCCAATTTATCGAAAGAGTTCTTAATATAGAATTATTGACTTTTAAATGCCAATTCTCTTTTTATAAAATACACATTTTACTTTAATAAAGCCGAAACAACTTAATAATCTATAATTAATATATGTATAAAATTAGGCTTTGTTTTGAAAATAAAGTAAAAAAAGTCTACTGTAAAATACAACAAGTATTGGTGGTTGAAACAAGTTGAACAAGCACTGAGGTGACGAATGGTCATCCCACAGTAGTATAAGTACTAAAGGAGTTACTGAAAATGGTCAAGACCGAAATCGGTCAGGGCATAATCCCCTCCCTCCTCTTCTCTATACCCTCCACTTCCTAGCTCCCGCAGTAATCTAACAAGTATTATCTTAACACGGTAACAACACAATCAGTCTCTACCCTATTATTACACTGGAAATCAATAGTACAATCACACAGACACACAGGATAAAAAAATAGTAGTACAGTCACATAGACACAAAATACAGAAATCAGTAATATGTACAATCACATAGACAGAATACAAAAAGCAGTAATACAATCACACAGAAACGTAGAATACAAAAAGCAATAGTACAATCACACACACGCAATACAGAAAACAACAGTACAAGCACACAGACACAGAATACAGAAACCAGTATTACAATCGAAGACCACTAGCCTGGTACTGCACGGTCTCCTGCATGGCGCCGAGGTGCACGGGGATGTGCGGCGCGTTGGACACCAGCCCGCCGTCCGGACCGAACAGCGCGCACGAGAAGTCCAAGCGCTCCTTTATGTTCACAGATATAGATGTTCTTTGGAGCACCCTGTGTCGTTTGTGTTGATTTGTTTGTAAGGAAAAGTTTTATCAATTTAGGTCAATCCTTATTCTTGGATTACTGGAAATGGTTGGAGGGATTTGGATGAGATTTAATATAAAGATAGGTTAATATAACCTTACTATATATAATAACATTACTATGGTGTCGCTCCTGAGCGTAGGGAAGGTAAGTCGTTATTATACTTTGTATATATTATTTGTTGCTCTAACAGCCATAAATAAAAAATGGAGGTCAAATATAAACTTATCTTTAAAGAAATATTTTTCAATCCACGTATGGAAATGAGAAAACGTCACGTAGCAAAACACAATAGTATGAGAAAATATAAAATCAATCTTACGTACAAAACAAATGTACACTTAATAATTACTAAACACGCTAGTCCGTGTGGAATTGTGACAAAAATGAGATAAGGAAAAAAAAATTAAATACTTATTTTTTTTTTCTTTTTTTAATTAAAAAAAATTTACCTGCCCATTTGTTCAGCAATGGACATGAATCGATGAGAAAATATACTCAATTGCACTGAGTCAAGATCTGCAGTCACCATCTTGGGCTTCCCTTCACCCATCGTTATGCGGATGTCACCGTATTTAGTTATTTCTGCAAGACATCCTAAAGACACACAAAAAAAACTAGCTTATTGCTTCATGGTAATGGCCGGTAAGTCACACATAATCACTTGTATGTATACAGGTGGTATGTGTAAATAAATTTCCCAACAAAGAAAAGGTAGGTGGCGCTACTGGCTGTATTTTTTTTTATTTTACGACCAAACAAGATCTGTAGCAGATTAATGTCCGCCTATTAGATCTGCTAATCTATATATAAATAAATCTATACGTACGTTAGTTTCGTTAAAACTCAAAAACGGCTGGACCGATTTAAATTATTCTTTTATTGTTTTGTTGGGGGTGTGTTAAGGGTGGTTTAAGAATAAAAAAATAAGGAAAACCAAAAAAAAACAGCTGGAAAACCAAAAAGTTCAGAATTGTTTATTTTGTATCTATGTATATAATATGTATAATAAAGTCTATCTATTCCATTCTCACCGTTAAAACGTACCTAGGGATGAACGCGAGGGAAGCGAGGGTGAGTCACTAGTATTAAATAAAAATAGCAAATAGATACCAGGTTCTACAAGTATTGTAGACAGTTTATCCATAATAATGGCCGGTCCATTGATTTCTTGTTCTGGAAGCAATTTATCCAACAAATATATCGCTGTGTCTTGATAGCCACCTTCGAAGTACACCTTCACAACCTACGAAATATTACAAGGTTAACTGTTTTGTAATACATTTTTTTTTATTATGCACAAAGTTTTATTTTGGTTTCGAGTAAAGCATGTAACTTGCGCACATATTTTAAGACCGACTTTAGAGAAGAGAAGGTTGCAATTCATATCTAAATATTTATAGGTACATATATAACATGAGTTCCTCTCCATAGGTCCCTTAAAATTTCAAAAAACATGACTCCTAAAAATGGAAAAATTCGTTTTGAAGATTTTTTTATTAAAAAAGTATTTCATACTAATATTATAAAGAGGTAAACTTTGTCAGTTTGTGAGTTTGTTTGTAGGAAGTAATCTCTAGAACTTCTGAACCAATTAGATATTTTTTTGTTTCATACCCTGGGAAGGATATAGGATAGTTTTAATCACGAAAATCATCCCTGAAGGGGGGTTAGAAAAGGGATAAGTTTTTATGGGGAATCTACCTAGGGACGAACCCGGGCGAAGCAAGGGTGAGTCGCTAGTATTATACATTCAGAAAAGCAATAAGCAAATGGTTAACAAAATGACATTGGTTTTTTACCATACCTTTTCAACAGTAGGTTTAGTTCCTTTGCCACTAGGTGGCGCCACTTCATCTGTCACTTCACTCTTTCCAATGGCGCGGATTCGGACATCGTCTACGTATATTTTGTTTGACAATGTGAAACCGAATTCGTTTCTATATCTAAAATAAAGAAAAGAAATATTTAAAAATCGTCAAGTGCGAGTTACATTCACATAAGTATATTTCGTATATTACCGAATTATAATTGCTAAAGGGTCGTCGAAAGCAAATTGGTTTAGTTGTAGTACGCAAAATATTACATAAAATATTTTTTATTTTAATTTTAAAACTCTTGCAAATAACATAAGTTATGTGTTACTAAAATAAAGCGCGAGATTTAAACATCGTTATTGTGCGGGGCTATCATCAATCAAAAAAGTACTAGATACACAATCCCACGCAAAAATTCTCTTAAAACTGTCACCAATTGTGTTTAGGTAATTATTCTAGTTGAAATACAACATTGTCAATTGAACCTTAAATGTAATGCTTAAAGTTGTTTTCACACAAAAAAAAAGTTAAATTAAAAGCGCGCTCAAATGTTTCAAATGAGCGCTCATTCGGTGAAGACATTTTTTGACGCTGATTGTGTATCTAGTACTTTTTTAATCGATGGGCGCAATTAATAAATGTAGTAGCAGTAGTGAAGGTACAATACTAATTAGCAAAAGTAAAAAAATATCTATACATATAATCAAAGTGTAACTGATCGCTGTCTGTACATGGAAGATATGTGAGAAAAACTATTATTAGGGGTCTTTATTAACGCAAAAGAATTTAAAACAATATTTTTTAGTATTTTTGTCTGTTTATGTATTAGTCTGTCTGGTTTGTGCGCACTAATCTCAGAAACGGCTTAATCGTTTTGGGGTGCGGTTTTCAGAGGGTGAGCTACTAGTACTCCATATTATACATAAATAAAAAATGTAAACCAAAAAAAAATTTAAGAATAAAATACCATTTCAAAATAAAATAAAAACAGACCTGTTAATAAACGATGTATAAAAGTCACCATGTATCATGCCGTTATCTCCCTTGGTGGGAGGCACCATGAGAGCGAAGTCCGTGCCCGCGTACCTCATGTGGAGGTACGGTTCTACCACAATTTGCGGGTCTTTGAAACCCTGTACCAATAGAATTTCAACTTAACATAGAATGAAATTAACTTATTGGTTTAAACAAAAATGCCTTCGAAATATCTTCATTTTAAAGTTTTCTTTTTTTATATAGGTAGTGTAGTGATAGTGATGAAAAACACATTTTGGACATATAACAATTCATCGCAATTGCATCGCGTCACAAATTCCCTGTTGTGCCATAACGCCTACCGATTCATTCCTCCACTTATCTAATATATAAATATCTCGTGTCATGGTGTTTGTGGTCGCACTCCTCCGAAACGGCTCGACCGATTTTAATGATTTTTTTTTGTATATTTGGCAGGAGTGAGAATAGGTCGTAAAGTATTTTTCACTCTCCTTTACAGTATAAGTTAAACATGTGTAGTGTATCAACTACCTGGTATCCATAACACAAGCCTCGTGGCTTACCGTGGAACTAGATGGTACTGTGTGTGAATGTCCTAACATATTTATTTATTTTATTCACTATATTATTGAAACTCACTTGAGCCCTCAACTTTTCTCTACAGACAGCAGCCAACTTATCGAGTTGGGCATCTAACTTGTCAAAGTTGTTAGAGCTGTATTCGACCGCACTTGGCTCTTGAGCTTCCTGCACTACATCAGCTAACGCCATGCCATACGCTGAGAGGATACCTGAAGAAATTTCATAATTATAATAAAAAATATATTATCTACTTAGTGTTTTAAATACTTTTCAATATTTTTATTAATTTATTGTACTCGGTGTTTTCGTTTTTATTTTTTACTAACGGCTTACCCTCGCTCGGGTTCGTCCCTGCTTACGTTTTAACATCTATACTAAAATAGATTTCTTAGCGATGAGATATTTTCCCGCGGTAAAAAGTATCCTATATATTGACCCGGATAACCAGCTATCATCATACCACATTTCGTCAAAATCTGAGCAGTGGTTTTCTCGTGATGCGTCCCAGATAGACAGACAATAATTCTAAAAACTATAGTTTCGGCCTCTGTATCTATAATAATGACTATTTCAATAAGATTTTCCAAAAATTATTAAATGTACAGATTCGACTTAAGTTAGAATTTTATTATATGTATGGATAAAAATAAAAACTTATTTCTATACTCACCAGCATATTTATGTGTGAGGACAGTGGATATCCCAAGTTGCTTGGCGACGGCACAGGCGTGCTGGCCGCCCGCGCCGCCGAAGCACGCTAATGCGTGATTGCGTGAATCGTACCCGCGGGACGTTGTTAGTGCTCTAAAATATTTTTTTTGTTTTTTTAATGTTAAGTTTTATGTAGAATATTTCGTCTCTTTAGTGCTTATTTGTTCAAAGCACAAATACTGGTTATACTTTACAGTAGATAGGTTTTTTCCTCTATTTTAAAAACAAAGCTTTATTTCTAATATTTATATACATAATAATATTATAAAATATATTATTGCGGCTTTGTTATATTAAAATGTGTATTTTATACCAATAAAATGGACATTTAAAAGTCAATAATTCTGTATGAACTCCTTCGATAAATTAGTAGTTTCGAGTTTCGACAAATAAGCACTGAGACGACAATTTGTTATCTACTCTATAAAGAGGTAAATTTTGTAAGTTTTCTAAGTATGCAAGGTAATCTCTGTAACTACCGATTCGATTCCTACTTCAATCACGATGGCTAATCTCATCTTAGCCTTAACTAGTATACAACAGATGTTATAGTGCACATGAAGTTACACATACAAAAGTACACTCTCTATCCCTGTCAATTCGCCACTTACGGTGAGAGGTGCACGGGCACGGAGGTGAAACACCGCCAACTTCCCAACTCCGGGCTTTTACTTTCAATTTTTTTAAAGAAAAAGTCTATAACTAAATTTGACCCAACCCAGGGCCCAAACCCAGGACCTAGAGAATCTACGGCTGTACCACCGAATCAGGTATAAAACTTTAGTTACCTAATAGGACGACACATTGCTTCGTTAGCAACGATGATGAAACCCATCGCGACCTCTTCCATAGTCATCTGTAAAATGAAATATTAAGTTATAAATACAGATAATATAAAGGCAGTGGTAGCCCAGTGTTCGTTTGGGAAACCGAGTGAAGCGGGTTCAATCCCTGATCTCGGACCTCTGATATTTTCATGTGTGTATCATTTCCAACTTGATTATTGTTATAAATACTTTTTATATATACATTCTTTGAATTTTAGAAATATTATTATGTTCAACTTTCATGTATGTATGTATGACTTTCATTCATATCTTTTAAGCTTATAAAAAAGGTCCTATGACTTTGTGTATTGAAATTACTTTAATTATCAATTGGTGAAGGAAAACATTATGAGGAAACTTGCATGTCTGAGAGAATCTAGCATGTTTTTGAAATAAATGTGAACTCCGCCAACCCGCACTTGGTGTGGTGGACTATGGCCTGATAGTATTAAAGGGAGGCCCGTGCCCAGCAGTGGGACTTTAAAAAAGGGCTAAATACATACACAAATAATGAAAACATAATAGACATTAATAATATTATATTGCTTTATTAGCAACAAGCTTATTATATTAAAATATTAAAAGTTATACAAACGAAATGAAAATATTCTGACAGCGTTAACATTGTATATATGGGAAATATTGTTTTTTCTTGTCTTTATACATTAATGGCTGCGTTTCACATAAAACCTATAATCATACCTCTTTCCCGCCATCTTGTTTCAAGAAGCAATTGATTTCCTCTGTCAATTTCTTAAAGGCCTGAGTGGTCGCTTCTTTATCTAAAGGTTCATTTTCGTTGGGACCAAATATTTTTGGGAAGTATTCTGGTAGAAGACGACCTATTGAATATAAATAGTAATATTAGTCAATAAATAAATGAATATGTTGGTACATTAACACACAACACCATTAAGTTCCATGGTAAGCTACGAGGCTTGTGTTATGGATACCAGATAGTTGATACACTACACATATATAACTTTAAATACATACATATTATAAATATGAAAACCTATGACTGGAGTAAAAAGCATTCATACTCATCACACAATCACTTGTGTGTTCCCAGCGGGACTCGAACCCGCGACCGCTGACACAGCAAGTAAGGTCACTACAAACAGAGCCAAAAGTGTCGTCAACGTCAATCAAATACTTTTAGTAGCAGTAAATTTAATAAATAATACTATATAAAATCAAACAAATGATTAGAATACTTGTTATTCATGACGGCGTATATATTGAAATTTGAAATATAGTTGTTTAGAATAAAAATTTTTTAACAAAAAAATAAAAACCGACTTCAAACAAAAGCACTAAAAAGTAAAAAATAACTGATTGGTAGTTTTCATTTACTATACATACCTAATCAAATATTTTCGAAGTCGGTGTGCTTTGCTTTGTATGGGCTGGCACCGATTTCGAAAATATTTGATTAGGTATGTATTTAATAGGTAGGCTTTAATTACTTAGCCAAAGCACACCGACTTCGAAAATATTTGATTAGGTATGTATAGTAAATGAAAACTACCAATCAGTTATTTTTTACTTTTTAGTGCTTTTGTTTGAAGTCGGTTTTTATTTTTTGTTAAAAAATTTTTATTTTTCCCTTTTTAGTGTAGACACTAGTAGCAAAGTAAGAATTCTAACGTGTTAGGCTTGTCAAATCAAACAAAATAAGCCCAAACTCAAAGTATCTACTAATAGCCGTTGAAGAGTTCCACCTATCCACCTTCTGGCCTTGCCATCAGATCAAGTCCACAACACCGAACCACTGTACTATCAACGGAAATAGAAATACTTGCAAAGTTTCAAGTCAATATGACAATTAGAAGTAGGTTAAATTCATCATTAGTTGTTTTTCCACCCTTAGAGGTGGTATTTTTTTTTGAAATTTAAATGGGACCAATCTGGAAGTATACCCTTTCAAACAAAACAAAAATTGTCCAAATCGGTTAATAAATGACGGAGTTCTGAGGTAACAAACATAAAAAAAAAAAAAAAAAAAAAACATACAGTCGAATTGAGAACCTCCTCCTTTTTGAAGTCGGTTGAAAATCAGCACTGTGGCTTTTCTGAGCATTTTCGCAAGTCACGCTAACTTCGAAATTTCATCCCACATTTATCGTTTAATCTTTTCCAATAATGCTACTACAATTTTACTTTAATAAAGTAAACACACAAGCACTATCCACCTATATTTATAAACAGTAACTTACTTCTTCTTCTTCTTCTTTCTTTTTCTTATTCTTCAGTAACTTCCATACTCTCTTTTTTTTACAAAGGAATAAATTGTGTTGGTTTAAAAAAAAGTAATTGAAAGAGTTTAGCATTTGAGATACAAGCCTACAGCGGCCTAGTTTAGACGTTAGCGTACAAAAATTGCATTCACTATATTGCTTTTATTTTGGTACATACATATGTATACCATAAACATATTATTACTATCAAAACTTACCCAATAATAAATTAGCATCAGTAACAGTGAGCGGGCCGCCCTTCCTGTAGCAGGCAGGGCCGGGCTCCGCCCCCGCGGACTCCGGCCCCGCCACGAACAGCCCCGACCGGAACATCAGCATGGAGCCCCCACCGGCTGCCACTGTGTTTATGTCTTGCAACAGAAAAAAAGCATCTATCTCTCGCTCTTTTTATATTTCTTACTCACTGTCTGTTTTGTGCAGATACTAGATAGATAGATAAATAGATGGATAAATAGATCGATGGACAGATAAATAGATGGATAGATAGATCAATGGATAGACAGATCGATGGATAGATAGATCGATAGATAGATGGATAGATAACTAGATAGATAGATAGGTGAGTCCTTAAGGTGCTGGTTTTTAAGCCTTCCACTTAGCAAATATAATTTTAAAAGATTTACAAAATAAATTTTGCTAGCGATGCCCAACAAAACAAAGTAAAATATAACATAGCTTGATTCCCCATACAAACTTTCATCTCCATTTTCACCCCCTTAGGTGATGATCGCCGGGATAAAAAGTATCCTATGTCCTTTCCAGGGTCTCACACTATCCTCTTGCCAAATTTCATCTAAATCGGTTCAGTAGATCCCGAGATTACCCCCTACAACATGACAAACTCACAAACGTTACCTCTTTATAATATTAGTAACATGAACGAATTAACCTTCGTTCACGTATTAGTAACATGAACGAATTAACCACAAATCGTTCATGATTAGTAAGTATAGATTAATTACAGCAGTTTTAAATTAATATAAAACATAATATACATATAATAAAATTGTAACTAAGTCGAATCTGTACATTAAATATTTATTGGAAAATCTTATTGAAATTGTTATTATTATCGATACAGAGGCCGTCTATCTATAGTTTTTAGAATTTTTGTCTGTCTGTCTGTTACCGCATCACGGAAAAACTACTTGAGGGATTTTGATAAAATTTGGTATGATGGTAGCTGGTTATCCGGGTCAACATATAGGATACTTTTTACCGCGGGAAAATATCTCATTTAAGAGAAAAAATACAAAAACTGCAATGTAAGAGTATACTAATATGTAAAACCTAAGAATTTGGTTTTTGGTCATCTGAACGCGGGCGGAGCTACGGGAAATGCTAGTTAAACTATAATCTCTTACCCAATTGCGGTGCCTGTATAGTAACTCCTGCAGTAGTGGCTTCGTGCACGTGTTCCAACGCTCCAGCGTACCTCGATACATCTGTTGAAGTTCCACCCATATCGAAACCTGTCATAAAATAATAAAAAAATAATTTGTTAATATCAATTTAAATCTTTAAGGCATTAAGAACTATTTTTTATTTCTTTGGATTATATTTATATTTTTTCATATTAAATTATAGTGAACTCTATGTACACTTGATCACTTTTAAGATTATTACTTTTTATGGATATTTTATTTTTGGTAAATGTTTGTATGTTTGTTTGCATGAAATAAATAAACAAAACCTATTTGTTTATTGCTAAAAAATTATCTTTAAATTTTAAGTCAATGGTATTCAAACTTCTACTGATTTCTGTAGGTATTATATTAATGCCATATTATATACTGTACCTATTACAGGTAATCCTGTCTCTTTTTGATAAGATGTTAGTGCATAGCCCACTACCCCTCCAGCGGGCCCAGATAATATAGCACGAGATCCATTGAATCTAAAAAAATATATATATTTAGTATGCGATACAAATATTTCTCAATAGTTCTTATTTTGTCTAAAATAACAAAAATTAGTAATAATTAAAAAAAACTGTTTATGTTTATAATGCATAATTACATAATATCTACCGTATATTGTCTAAATGTAGGTAGAGAGAATGGAAGAATTATTGTAAGAAAGAGAACATTTTCTTCTATTTATTCTATAGATTGATATATCGTATTGATATAGATATTATTATCGGTACAGAGGCCGAATCTATAGTTATTCGAATCTTTGTCTGTCTGTGTCTTTCTGTCAACGCATCACGACAAAACTGGACGAATCTTGATTAAATTTAGTATGATGCGTTAAAACGTAACTAGTAATATATATCTTCCTGACAGATTGAAACAGGTACGATTGCCGATCTTGACCTTGGCCTCTCTGTGACTAACATCTGCTCGGGCATATCATAGAGATATTGTACTTTATTTTTTTTATATATTGCTTAATCTTTATATGCTTACAAATTCATTGGAGTCAATCCTCCATCAGACTGCATAAACAGTACATTGGAACCTTTCAATCCATCAGTGAAGCCACCGGAGAACCCTTTCACATACTCTTTTATATGAGGAGTGAGATATGCGTCAGCTGATGCTGTGAAACCCCGGGGTACCATCCTTATCATTGACATGACAGAGTGAGATAGCGATACTTGGTTGAAACCTGTGTGAAAGAGAAACAAATATCATTGAAGAAGCCTGCTTTTGATTTGACAGAATGAGATAACCTGCGTGAAAGAGATAGATGTTAGGATCTTAGAACAGATCATAAACAAAGAGGATGGACTGAGCAATACCCTCATGAAATTAAACACTCTCTAGAAAGAGAGAAAGCGAACGTGCGGCCAATACCTGTCTTTTATTTCAATTTGAATTTATAAATGCCATGTAAAAAAATTATAACAGTGTGAAAGAAAAAAGTGGTTATAAATATCTATCCTCATTAATCGTATTTCAATTGGAACCGATACAGTGATGCTTAGACAAAATGACACTTTACCGTCACATTTACTAAACAAATTAAAGATATTTACATAAGGAATTTTGGTGCAATTCGCAAATGGCAGATCTTCAAATTAAAAAAACTTACCTAAATCATCAGCAATCTTGCCAATCTTTATTTCATGTTCTCTATAAGTGTAACTATGTGCGAGAACTACCGCAATGCTATCTATCCCTTTCTCTCTCAATACTTTCAGATCTTTCCGCACTGCTTCCTCATCAATGTCTTTGGTAACCAGCATTTTCTGACCGGTAGTCCCATATACTTCCTTCCAATTTAAATTCGATTTGTCGATCTGACAATGGTCTAGTGCGGGTATCACGCGACAATCTACTTCTACAACTTCAGTGTATAAAACTCCAGGACGCTTTATGTTCTTAAAATTTAAATTAAAATATTAGAAATATGTTTTCGATGATACAATTACCCTACATCTATACATGTAATAAAATTGTAACTAAGCCGAATCTGTACATTAAATATTTTTTGGAAAATCTTATTGAAACAGACATTATATACAGACATTATATATAGTTTTTAGAATTTCTGTCTCTCTGTCTGTCTGTCTGTTACCGCATCACAGAAAGACCACTGGAGGGATTTTGATGAAATTTGATATGGTGATAGCTGGTTATCCGGGTCAACATATAGGGTACTTTTTACCGCAGGAAAATATCTCATTTCTGAGAAAAAGTACAAAAACTGCAATATAAGAGTGTATTAATATGTAAAACATAAGAATTTGGTTTTTGGTCATCTGATAGCGGGTGGAGCCGCGGGCAATGCTAGTGTTAAATAAAAATTGAGTCATTTTCATTGATTTATAAAATAAAAGATAGCATAGATACTTTTGTGGGGCATGCAAATATTTGTTTTACTGAAACACATCTAAAAAGGTGAATTAAATACTCAAGTCACTTATTCTTTAAATTCTGCAACAGAAAATTCCTTATCACTGATACAAAAGTTACAGCCCGCCATTGTATTTCTATTGAGTGCAGAATAATCCCCACTTTGTATAGGAGCGATCTAATTGAAATTAAACTTAGTTCCCAGTTGAAATCTGGACAGACATGGTGTGACTGATGAAAGATTCAAAAATAAGCAGTAAAATTCTAAGAACTATGGACTTTAATTCGTTTTTAAAGTATTATAGAAATAACTTTACTACAATACCCAATAAATATATTAACAAAAGTTATGCTGCATCTTTTTGACTTCTCTTTAATCTTCTCTGGTACTATCAAATTCATTAACACCTCCAATTTATAGACAGTTTTTTCCTTATAATATCAGTTTAATTTTTATAGGTATTTCTAAATTATGGGAACTTTAACTTTCTAAATTTTGAGATCCTATGTATACTTAATGTTTTTAAATGAAAAGTTCATAATGTTATCAGAATCTTGTAATAGAATTTATTTAATACTAGCAACTCACTTCACTCTGGTTTGTCCCTAGTGAAAAACAAAAACAAATCTATCCCACGGGAACTGTACATTTTTCCGAGATCAAAAGTAACCTATGTGCTATTCCAGACCTGATCTATCTCTGTGCCAAATTTCAGATCCCTTGAGCCGTTCTGGTGTGATTGAGTAACTAACATCCATCCAAACTTTCACATTTATAATATTAAAGGGATATATAAAAACAAAACTTACAAGCTGAAAAATGTGTGGTCTAGCTTGGTTACCAATATATAGTAAATCTTTAAAACCTTTATTTATAACCAATGCCATTTTAGTGCCCTTCCTTTCCAATAATGCATTTGTGGCCACTGTTGTCCCCATCCTGATTGATTCTATGAGAGAAGAGTTGACTTTGCCATCATCATCAAGAGCATTACCCGTTTCCTGAGAAGAAAATATAGTAAAAAAAAGAAAATTGAGGCTAATAAAAATAATTTGCATGTTTATTACTTCATAATGCTTTATATAATTTGCTTTTAGTTTATAAATTCCAATAATCTGCTTATAGTTAAACTGAATGCAGATAATAAGACAAAAAAAAATTATTTATTGCTAAGTATAAAATTTAAATCAGTTATTTTTTAAATTATCATAGAATTACCTCTTGTAATATTCTCCTAATAGCTTCTCTTGGAGCATCTTCATAGTTTTGTGGATCAACTGATAGTAATTTCATAACTCGCACTTTTCCATTTGGACACCTAGCGTAGACATCTGTGAAGGTACCTCCTCTGTCAATAGCGAACTGAAATCCTTGAGGTCCCATATTTAACCTAAAAAATATAAAATTTATTGTATTTTAATTTTTTACTATAATAACAATATATTTTTATGTATTTAAAATGTATAATTTTAACACGATGATAACAGAAGAACAAGATGTTAAATTACTTTATTATTCAATAAACAAGTATATAAACACAATTCAAACACCAATAATGAAGAGTAACTAAGTCTTTCAAATTCAATTTATTCTTATCATTAATATCTAAACTATGTTTATATTCTGATAAAATTAACAGATGATTGTTTAAAAAGGTGAAAGAGATATTGTACTGTAGCTACACTATCAATATATATAAGAAAAACAATATTGTGCAGTCACTATCACTATATTGTTTTATGAAACCTTAAAATTATTTTTATTTAAATATAACATAGTTATACAATTTATATAAAGTACTTTAGCAGTAAATGTAAATAATGTTAGCTGTTAAATTATTTTATTTATGTATTATTTGCTTTATTACCTATACAAATTTCAGGATAAAATATTATATAGTTTTATGGTGATTGTATTTGGCGTATTTACTTAACTGTAGTGTTTTTTTAAGAATTAAAATGTTTATGTACTTACCTTGATAACAACTCGTTCTCCAACACAAGTATTTGTAAATGTCAAAATTGTTATCACATAGATAACAACACCGTTTTTTATTCAACAGCTTATATGTTCATAACGATAAGGCTTAATTTCCTTTGTTATTGTTTTAAGAGAAACTATTAAGTATTTACCTACAAACCATGGACGAATTGTGGTTAATTCGTTCATGCCACAAACTAATATAGAAATGGTATTTACCTAAATATGCTTGAACATTAGAATATTTTGAATGAAATTAAACACAAAGAAAATTGAATAACGTAAAATATTAAAACAACTTACGCATATTAATAATACAAAAAAAATAAATTATATCTTTGTATGCGACCGGGATTCGAACCCGGACACCTACGATTGTTAATTTAAAAAAAAAAAAAACTTGAATAAATATTAAAAAAAAATAAAAGTGAAAACTTTGTATGCGACCGAGATTCGAACCTGGACACCTGTGATTCCGCCGCTTGACCGCGATGCTTATGCCCGAGTGTGCAAATTACCGACCATATTTTCCGTGGAATAGCAAAAGGAAACTGCATGAAAATTAAAAAAAACACACGTTTTCTTGGACATAAGACTAATCTAGATCGATTTATCGCCCCCGAAACGCTATGTATACTAAATTACATGAAAATCGTTGGAATCGTTGCCGAGATTCAGATTCCAATTAAAAAAAATAGTATTATTATTCGCCAATAGATGTTAGAAGAAAGAGTCATTTTTAATCAGTTTATGTTTAAGTGGCAACCTTAGGACTACCCAAACGCCACCTTTTTATTATTTTTTTCCAATAAAAAAAATTAAATTATGTTTTAGTTGATTATCGATAAAGTTGATTATTGAAAACACGAATAAAACGACATTTTCTAAAAATACCTGGGCCACCGAGCTCCGCTCGGAGTTTTTGGTTGAAAGTACAATTTTCTTTAAAAAAAAACAAAAAGCTTGAATACAAGAAAAAAAACAAAAATAAATTATACCTTTGTATCCGACCGGGATTCGAACCCGGACACTTATTCAATCTTGCGCCTTGGCCGCATGATGGTTATATCCGAGCGTGTGAAATTATCGAACATAATATTTTGCGTGGAATAATGCAAAAGAAAACCGCATGAAAATTCGAAAACACGCGTTTTCCCAGATATAAGACTAATTCTAGATCGATTTATCGCCCCTGAAACCCATTGTAGACTAAATTTCATGAAAATCCTAGGAGCCGTTTCCGAGATTCAGATTCAGTTCAAATATATATATTTCAACTGCCTCTGTGGTGTAGTGGCTAGCAAGTAGGCTGCACACCCGGAGGTCCTGGGTTCGAGTCCCGGGTCGGGCCAAGTTTAGTTTGAGTCTTTCTGTATAGTTAGCCTCAGTAACAGCCCAGAGTTGGGAAGTTGGGGGTGTTTCAGCCCCGTGCCTCGGAGAGCACATACAGCCGTCGGTCCTGCGCCTTGACTCTCACTGGTCGTGAGAGAGTGCACTTGTGCACTATAATATCCTCCTGCGCAGTTGGCTAGTCTCAATGACATTGGCCACCGTGGCCGGAATCGGTCAGGAGAACATCATATATATATATATATATATATATATATATATATATATATATATATATATATATATACACAAGAATTGCTCGTTTAAATATATTAGATTTATAGATTTAGATAGGTTTTATTACTTTTCTAATTTATTCAATCAAATAATATTTATTTAGTTGTTACAACCTACCATTCAGCTAGAAACTCTTTTCTTACATTATTTACTCTCAAAGAAATAAAAAAATCACGTTAATTTATTGTTGATTGGAAAGAAAGACTTACTAATATTACTTTTAACAGTAAGAATAAGAAACTTAATACCTAATTACTATGCTAATATCGCTTATCATCCAAATAATTTCATGGAAATTTTCTTTTGTTTCCAATAATGAATAATTCATAATATAGATAGAAAATTACGTATTAACTAATGAAATTGGACATTTATTTTAATGAAACAAAAACAAAAGCAAATTTATCCCTCGGGAACCGTAAATTTTTCCGGGATAAAAAGTAGCCTACGTGATATTATATTGTGTTTAGTAAAGTTTCAGTCAATGCTTCTGAACAGAGAAAGAATAGATAGATATAGATAGTCTAACAAATGAACCGCGGTAAAGCTATTGCATAGCATTTTTTATCAACTTATGCAATTATAATTATTTATTTATTTTATTAATGCAGTATTTTTTTCCTTGACTTTCTTCATTAATAAATGCACTTTGTTTATTCATATTTAAAACACTTTGTACACAAATTATACGAGTACAGATATTCACCTACCCTACCCCAGCCTGCAAATTTATGATATTTGCAATGAAAAAAATACTAATCGATAGATTTTCAATAGCTCAATTTAACTACGTAGCCCTTTCAAATTGCTCACCTTTAATTATTTAATTAAAAATCAATAAAGTCTTTGAAAAAAAATTAATTTATCTGTATATTCAAACTCCTATATCTTTTGATGTATACAATATTTCAAATTGCTCAAAGTTCTAAAACACTGCTCAAGTTGCATTTGTAATTGCTCAAGTAGAGTTTTTACCAGCTCCACTTTCGCTGATTATTAAATAATTAAAAGTATAGTTGTAATAAATGTAACGTAGGTTAAGTGAGCGTGCGCATGCGCACCGCGCATTGTCGGTCGGCCTCGGCGGGCTTGGACAATCGTTCCAATTCAACGTCGTAATTCTGTTTCTCGGTGGATTTCTTTAAATTTATTGAATTTATGAATTGTTCACATTACGTGATTCCACTTCAGATATTATAACATAAACAACAGATCTGGAATCTACCAATAAATGAAAATTAATACCAACAGATAAATTAAGACAAAATCTTATGTTCAAATGCTTATTCTATTAAGGTAATAGCCATGACAGGGATCATTAGTAAAATGTTATTAACATCAATACAAGACGGAACTTTTTTTATTTTTAAATATACATATAGTTTAATGAAATTTTTATTTCAAAGAAACAAACTGCATGAATATAAACTGCCTTTAATATAAAGGAATTTTGAACTCTGATCAGCAATCAATAATTTAATAATACTGCTACGATCCTTTTTAGCTCCTGGAAGCGCCACAAACATTCCATCTCTTGATGCTGAGCTGATCGCCTCTCGGATGTTCCATCTCATTTTCAACAGCTTCGTCTCACTCTTTGACTCCATCTCATTAGAGCCCTTAGTACCGTCCTCTTTTTCCTGATTAATTTAGCGGCGATGTTTCATTTTTCTTAGCGGGGTCCAGTTGTGGTCCGTTTACCGGCATTTATGCTGTTTTCCTCGCCCGAGCGAGACAAGGATTTCTCGTCGTCCTCGTCATCGTTGATTATGCAGAGGAGGTCTGATTCTGAAACTTCTTGGACTTCTACGTGTGTACCTATTAAAATAACAATTGATATTGTACCTTGAAAATACTTGTATAGAGTGTGATCTTGAATATCATAAAGAAGATAAAGACATGCGTACCTTTTAAAGCTTACTGCCGAACATTGAAGGATATCTGGATAGAAAGAAACGATTTGGTCAAAAGCAGTAAAGTACTATCATCAAAGCAACTTCCGTCAATCAAAATAGCTGCAATTTTCTATGTAAATATAAAACATTAATAAAGTATAAAATCATATTTACATTGTTGAGTTCATTTTCACCTTGATACACCTACTTATAGTTATTGACTAGCAGATTTATGTATATTTTAGCTATATTTATTCTAGCATTTTTTAGTTTTAGTCAAAAAGTGAAAAATATCCAGCAAACATAATGATCATGTATACTACTACTTATTTTGTTTTGGAGCAAAGAAGAATATATAGAAAATACTTTGTAAACAGACATAAAGTTACAAAATAAAGTTACCTTTTAGTCATGATTTGATTTTTGTATAAATTGAACATAATGAATAAGTCAATAAATAATAAAAATACCTGATAATAGATGATGTTGTGCTTGGAGTATTACAGTTTCATTTCACTATGATGAGGTTATGAAACACTTGATTTTTTTGCCTTGCGACTCGCGTTACTGTTTGCGCGCATGCGCAGCACTCACCTATCTATACGTTAAATTTATTCAAACTATTTATATTTATTTAATAATTAAGGAAAGTGGAGCTGGTGAGAACTCTACTTGAGCAATTACAAATGCAACTTGAGCAGTATTTTAGAACTTTGAGCAATTTAAAATATTGTATATATCAAAAGAAATAGAAATTTGAATATACGGATAAATGATTTTTTTTTCAAGGACTTTATTGATTTTTAATTTTATAATTAATGGTGAGCGATTTGGAAGGGCTACGTAGTTGAATTGAGCTATTAAAAATCTATCGATTAGTATTTTTTTCATTGCGAATATCATAAATTTGCAGGCTGGGGTAGGGTACCTCAGATATTCACTGTTGTACATAGATGATAATACCTATACACCTATATACTTTCTCACAAACAGCTGATTACGGTAGTTTTCCAATACAACCAATGCCACCTAAAGGCGGGTTGCTGAACTAAAGAAACAAGCGTGATATTTCAAAAAGTCATTAAAAGTTCTGGTATTTATCGATAGATGGAAGTATCACCGCTGTGCCGGTCGGAGTGGGGGGTGTCAGGTTTTTTTCGTTACGGAATTTCTGGATTCGGTCCCCACGCTCAAGGTCCGCGATAGAAGCTATGCAATAGCTTAATAAAAAACAACATTCACCTGCAGAGGATTTAAGAGTTTTAAAATTACTTTTTGTAGGTAATGATAAAAAATGATGTCCACATATGCTTACATATAAAGATTTCATCAATTTTGGCCGTCTTATTGCTTTAGCCCACAATTTCTTCAGTTTTTGTCTTTTGGGAACAAATACTACACATTTTCTTTGCATCCCGCCACTGCACAGTTTGTCATTTTAAATTTTAAATAAAATAGAAAAAACTCCAAAAACACGTCATAGAGCGGGAGAAGAAGCAAAATTCTTTAGCAAGCTAGCAATGGGCTAGCTTGCTTTATAAACGCGTTTTAAAATATAACCTCAATTTACAAATGTCAGTGTCACTACACATGACTCAAAACTTCAAAAGTCAAAACGTTGTGGTTAGTGGTGTTTCATGAATGTTTTATATTATTTTTTGCAGAAAAGATTAGTTTCTCTTGGCGAACATATAAGAAGAATGGCTCGGAAAAATAGAAATGTTAATAAGTTTGCTCAACGTAAAAGAGACCGAAAGGAACAGGTATGTAAACATAATTTTAAAATGCAAGTAGAAACTAAAAACATGTTGTGTATTTTTTGTGATGTGGATGCTGTTTTTCTTGTTATTAGGCAAACAATCCTGAAGAAAAGCCGGTAGCTGATACACGTAAGCACTACGAAGATATAATTCGGGAGAATGCTGCATTCGAAGAGTATTATAAGGTAATTTTTAGAGATGTACCGAGATGGCCGATTATCCGGCCATATTTACATTGTGCGATTAGTCAGTAGTCGGCGGCTAATCGGCAAAAAGCACCGACTAGTCGGGCCATTACTTTATTCATATTACTATTCTTAAAATAGGGTGAATGAAATGAAATTCCGTCATTATTATTAAATATTGTTTATATTTTAGTATCAGTCTTACAATTGGCAATATAATCTAGGAATAGGAATAAAGTAAGGAATAGAAGACTTGTATTATATGACTAAAATTTCAGAGATCTCCTTTTTATTAATTAAATAATTATTTTAGAATTATAGTTTCAAACACCATGTGTTCACGCAAAATAGGTGCACAGACATTGAGTTGCGGAAACAAGCCTGAATATACCATACCAACACTATGTGTAAATTATTAAAATAAGTGTACCATACAGGCAGAACTCTATTAGTTGGCTTTTTTTAAAGCAAATAGCTATTCAGTAAAACTTATAGTAAGCCCAACTCTAGTAAGTTTCTCTTTAAAGTGATAATCCGGCTACTTGAACTACTAAAACCCTGTATATAAATTATATGTGAATATGCTGTTCTCTTGAAAAATATCTTTACTTTATCCATATACCCAATTATCAAATTAGTAAGTTCAGAATAATTTTATTTCTATATAAATATTTTCTAGGGTTATAATGCAATCTCCATATATTTTTAATTTTGTTAAATACATATTTCATATTATGCTATTATTTTTAGGCTCAGAAAATTTGTCCAGAAGATCAGTGGGAAGATTTCATGAAAACACTTAAGGAAAACTTACCAACAGCATTCAGAATAACTGGCTCAAAATGTGAAGCTGATGCATTAATGAATATTGTGAAAAGTGAATATTTCTCTGAGATTCTTAATGCCAAAATTAAATTAGAGGGAAAGGATGATGAAGAGGAAATAAAACCAGTAAACTTGCCTTGGTTCGTATAAGTTTTGTAATAAGTAGTAATTCGTTTTGACAGGTGTTATAAAGTTGATCTATATTTTATTTATGGGTGCAGTAAAATAAAGTTATATAAAATATATAAAAATAGTACACCAAATACTGTATAGATATAGAAATACAGATATAGATCTCATCACATACAAAAAATGGAACTATATTTAATAGAGTAATTCAGTTTACTCTTACTTTCTTGTTTCTTAAATATGTGAAAAATATGACAAAAATAATCTATTTCAGGTATCCTGGTGGTCTAGCATGGCAGCTACGTCTCTCACGCACAGACATACGTAGAAGTGAACCTTTGTACAAGCTCCATAACTTTCTAGTAGCAGAGACGGCTGCTGGTGGTGTGTCAAGACAAGAGACCGTATCTATGATACCCCCTGTTGCTTTGCAAGTTGAACCCCATCATAAGGTACTTGTTTATATAATAATCAAATATTTACATATACATACATAATGTATACATATATAGCGAAAAAAGTTTTTCCTTTGTTACACCATCATGTTAAAACTACTGAATGTATAATAATAAGTAATAGGGGTCATCTGTAGATAGTTTTAGGCTATTTATCTCTGAATTCTATTCATATTCACCATTTTATATGATATTTAATTTATAATTGAAAATTTTAAATATTCATTAAGGTCTCTCTAGATCAACTGATACATTTACATATGTCTGATACATTTACATATGCCATACAAAGTGGTTGGGTGATTGCTAGTACATTATAAAGTAATTATTTATAAGTTATACTTCTTTTGGCATGTTTTAAAAAAATAAAGTTCCTGAGCAAATATTATTGTTATATATAATCATTTACTCTATATAAAAATACACTTTATTAAAACTTTTTTTTTATTACCTACACTGTTAAAAATTCCTAATAAAGTTTACAAATAAAACCTTCTTATATTGCATTTAATTTTAAGATAAGAAGTAGCAATAGTGATAATACTTTGTTTTTCTAGGTACTAGACATGTGCGCTGCTCCTGGTTCGAAAACTGCCCAACTCATAGAATTTTTGCATGCAGACGAAGACACTACACCAAAAGGTACAATTATTTTGTCATATTTTATTTGTATTATCTATTTCGGTCCGTTTTTACTAAGACTAGCTTTTTAGGCTATATATGTTCTGTCTGCCTACTTAAGTTTAATACCGTTGTCTTTTCATTATTTTTAATTTTATAACTAAACTTGGCCTGACCTGGGACTCGAACCTAGGAATGCTTCATGCGTACTGCTTCGTATTAATCTCCGTACAACTGAACTTAATTCCAAATTTTAAGGTTTCGTGGTCGCAAACGATGTGGACAATAATCGGTGTTACATGTTAGTGCATCAAGCGAAGAGGTTGAACTCACCCTGCATAGTAATAACCAATCACGATTCAGCTGTGATGCCATCTCTAGTTGTCGCTGATGAACAGGTCTTTTTTTTATTTTATTTAAAAAAAACTATTTTATTTTAATATAATGAAATAGATTTTTATATATATGTATGTATTTTGAATTTTCTGTAACAAGGAAAATCATTAACTAGTGAAATCAATGTTGTCAAATAGTATACATATATTTTTTTTTTCTAAGCGTTATATTTTATTGCACTTATACATAATTAATTATAATAGTGAAGTTAAGTTAATTATCCTTAAAAACTATACATATTTATAATAATTCAAGTTATTTATTTTTTTACCAGAACATGATTCTTTGAAATATTTCCTCTCAATAGAACCCTGGAGTAACAAAGCCATTGAAATTCGACCGCATATTGTGCGACGTGCCTTGTTCCGGAGACGGTACGTTAAGAAAAAACCCTGACATTTGGCTTAAGTGGTCTACTGGCAATGGGAATAATTTGCATGGGTAAGAAATTTTTGATTTTTATTATACAAGTGTTTATACTCTTAATATGAAAAATAGTGTATTAAAACGACTATCCTGCTGGGTATTGATTAGAAGAAAATGTTAAACCGGTATAGTCGTTTCTAGAAAGAGGTTAATAGGGGATATTCGTGATTATATATATATATATATATATATATATATATATATATATACATAAAATATCCAGCTCCAAAAAACTAAAATTCAGCATATTTTTTTTTTAAATGTCATACCGATACGGATACTTTAAACGTTCGCCATTTCGCACGCTTGTCGTGACGTCAAAGTATCATGCATAGAAAAATGACGAGTTTAGTTTATAGCGATAAAGTCGCTAATCGCTCGGTTATGATAATACTCTGACGTCATATTCGGTCTGACCAATAGCGTTCGTTTCAAATACTTTGTATTTCCCATCTATATTTTTAATAATTATTATTTTCTTCATCAAAAAGAAATTACATTAAAAAATATCGATAAAGGCTTAATTCAAAAGCAATAAAGATTATAAAAAAATATATTTCATCTTTATTTAAATCACACGCATATTCTCTATTGACAAACAAGTAGATGGACATTGGACATATAGATTAACCAAGTAAAATTAACTAACAAAACAGTGCCGGATTCAACCTTATATATTCCGATTATATTCCGAATTTTGCCGCCCTGGGCACTAACCCCAAATGCCCCTAGTGTAAATCCAGCGCTGCAAAACAACAATTTGTCCTATCATATTTATTAACCTATACAATATAACTAGCGATACCCGCGGTTTCGCTTGCATAATTTATTTTAATGTGTATTTGCTCCACTCCAGTAAAACACCTTCACTTTAGTGAATCATCATCTTCATTTAGTCAGTCATGGTCATGGAAAAGTCAAAGGAAAATAGCTATATAGAATTTTCTAAATCTGTTATTCCAGAGATTAGGGTGTTCAAACAAACAAGTAAATCACTACTAATAAATACATATTTATCTCAGAATCCAATACCGTATCCTCCGCCGAGGCTGTGAACTCCTCTCAATAGGCGGACGTCTAGTATATTCGACGTGTTCCTTCAATCCCGTGGAGAACGAGGCAGTCGTGCATCGCATGCTGCAAGAGGTCGGGGACAAGATTAAACTTGTGGACGTTTCAGATCTACTGCCGGGATTGAAGTTCCAGAAAGGTACTTTTGATATATTTTTTAAAAATGTTAAGAATGCCATAGTTTTTTTTATTGTTAACAATAACAGCTGTATTTCTGTTTTATTTTATATATATATATATATATATATATATATATATATATATATATATATATATATATGTAAACCTAAACAACTAGGGCTCATTTTATTAGCTTTGGTATAAAACTTTTACTATGTTTAATGTAGTAGTGGACTAAATAAAGCAAAGGTAAAACCTAATATTATACTAATCTATACAGATATGTCTGTTTGTAATATTAAAATAACAGCTTTTTACTAAATCCGTCCTAGTATACTGTGTTACTATGTTATGTCTAATTTATTTTCAGGTATGACCCACTGGCGTCCAGCGTCCAAAGACATGGTGTTCTATGACAAGTACGAGGATGTACCGGAGAAGTGGCAGACTGTGGTCCGTCCACAGATGTTCCCACCCAAGCCTGAAGACTTAGACAAATACAATTTAGATAGGTGGTAAGTTGCGAAAGTATGTAATACTAGCGGTTCACCCTCGCTTTGCTTGGTCTTGTCCCTAGGTACATATTTAATTTTTTTGAGCGGTACCCTAATTCTTTTACTGAACTAAAAGTAGCCTAAGTTACTCCTTATAACATCAACTACCTGCCAGTGAAAGTCCCGTCAAAATCGGCCCAGCCGTTTCGGAGATTAGCCGGAACAAATAGACAGACAGACAGACAAAGATTTTAGTAATTGTGTTTTTGTTATAACTACAGTATATAATTCCATATGCATTTAGTAAAAAGCTGTTATTTTGACATTACAAACAGACACTTCAATTTTATTTATCACTATTGATTGTTATGTACTAGGATTCTGATATTGGAAAATAAAACTGATCCCCTTGCCCATCATTGATATGCAAAAACTCAATTTACACAATTAGCGTCTCAAAAGTTTCCTCAAAAAGAAGTGCACAATTCGAAATTGTGCGCTTTTTTTCACATCTCTTGTTCATTGCTTTTCGGATGACAAAATTAAAACGCACGTCGTTGTTTCGTTTAAAAAAGTGCTTTATGTGGTGTGCGTAAGTTCGAATTTGTGTTTAGACAAATAGAACTTTATTCTTTAGTTTGACTTAACCTCATAAGTCGACGATTTTTTGAAGAGATATTTGTTAGGAGTTGACTTATACTCACGTCCTCACGCTGCTTGTAAGTTACTAACTTTTTTAGGAACTATATTGTATTACTAGTTTAAAAAAAAATAAAAATTGTTTCCGTACTTGGTGTTTTTTTCTGGAATAAGTTTTTTTTCTCTTAGAAGTCAGTAAAAATCTTTAATAAGTAAATACAATTCAATAACTTACATAATATCTTCTTACAGCATAAGAATCTTACCTCATCACCAAGACACAGGTGGATTTTTCGTAGCCGTGTTCGAGAAGACAGCTCAGTTACCGTGGGAGAAACAAGAGGAAGCCAAACGAATGGAAAACGTAGAAGAGACAGAGAAGGAGAAAAAAGAACCACCCAAAAAGAAGAGAAGAATGGGTGGTTACAGAGAAGATCCATTTGTATTCTTCTCAGGTGAAACAGAAGATGTATTTCCTTCTATCAAAGAGTTTTACGATTTGAATGAGACTTTTAATGCAAGCTGTTTATTGACTAGATGTCATATTGGTAAAAAGAAGAATATATACTTAGTGTCTCCGGCAGTGAAAGAGTTAGTGCAGAAGAATGAGTCAAACATTAAAATTATTAATACTGGTGTTAAGACTTTTGTGAGATGCGATAATAAGAACATGGTGTGTCCGTTCCGGTATGTGATAAAATTTATGTTTTTTTTTTTATTTTAATTTAGGCATAGACACAAGCCTTAAGGCATTAATTAGGTCGATACTGAAATATTTTTGTTCTATATTTATTAAATCTGTTGTTTTTTGTATGTTTTTAATTAATCTATACTTAATATTATAAACAGGTAGAGTTTGTTTGTGTGTTTGTTTGAACGCGTTAATCTTAGGAACTACTAATTCGATTTTTATAAAAATATTTTTGCATTAGACGCCAAGTAGAGTTAAGAGCCCCGTTCATTGAGGAAGGATATATCATATAATATATAGTCTATCTATTCCATACTAACCCTTATAACGTACCTGGAGACGAACCCGAAAGCGAAGCGAGGGTGGGTCTCTAGATAATAATAATTTTGTTGTGTTTTGTAGTTTTGAAAATTTGATTATAATGGTTAAAAGTTTTCACCATTGCATTATGATAATATTTTCCAACATCAATTTATACATACATATATTTAATTAAACTAGAGTACATTTAACTTTTTTTTTATTAATTTGTTTAAAAAAATTATAATACAATATATGTATGTCTTTTTAGATTATCACAAGAAGGACTACTGGGTATATCACAGTTCGTAGGAGCGAAGCGTCGTCTGAACATATTGAAGGAAGATTTGATATTGGTACTACAAAATGACAACCCCAGTGACCCGCCACATGTCGACCGATTCTCGGAACATACGCAGAAACTTGTTAAGGACTTTGGTTAGTTTTTTTTTAAATTAATATCATGTTTTATGAATCACTTTGTAAAGCCTTCGTTTTTGAACGACTTACAAATATGAAGTAGTACTTAATTTATTAGAAGTGGCAGTGGTAGCCCAGTGGTAACGCGCTCGCTTGGGAAACCGAGTGAAGTGGATTCAAATTCCCGGTCTTGCTCCTCTGATATTTTCATGAGCTAATCATTTCCAACATGATTACCACTTGTCTTACATTGTAGGAAAACATAAGAACCTGCATGTCTAAGAGAACTTAGCAAGTTTTCTAAAGACATGCTCAGCACCCGCACTTGGTCATGCCTAATCCTCCTCGTATTATAGGCATACTCAGCAGTGGAACGTTAAAAAGGGCTAAATACAATTCAAAGCAAGATAACATAATAATTGTAATTACATTCCAGCGACAGGTAGTTGTATTTTACAATACAAAGACCTATCATCCAGCCTCCAACTAACGCTGGTGGGATGGCGCGGCGTGCACTCCCTGCGCGCGTACACCGCTACTTCAGACACTGTCCACTACTTACGTTTGCTGGGAGCTGATTATAGCAAATATGGTGACTGAATTTATTATATTTAAATACTATTATATTATTTAACATTACATTTTAAAGTTTAACGAAGAGATGAGATATTTTTCCGTAGTAAAAAGTATCATATATGTTAAACCCGCATAAGCAGCTATGGTCATACTAAATTTTATCTAAATCTGTCCTGTGGTTTTTTCTTGATGCGGTCACAGACAGGCGGATAAAAATTCTAAAAACTATAGTTTCGGTCTCTGTACCAATAATATTGTCTAATAAGATTTACCAAAAAATATTTTTTAATACAGATTCGACTCAGTTAGAATTTTTATTATATGTATAGAAGATTATCGATATGCCTTTGCTTCACTCGGGTACGTCCTGGGGTTATTTATTAATAAATTAAAAAAAATTAAAGACTTAACCTCACATGTCTTGACGTATAACGTGAAATGTGTATCGATATTTTTATATATCATATGTTTTGTAATTAATATATGTTTTTCTTTTATTACAGATGTCAATAAATTCAAGAAGGCGACAGAAGTAGATAATGATACTTCAGAGAGTAAAGAAAGTGCTGACGTTACAGAAACTGCCAGTGAAAATGATGTCAGTCAAAACACAGTTGAGAAGTGTGAAGATAAAATTGACAATTGTACATAATATTAAATGTTGAATAAATAAATATTATATATTTATGCATATTGATAGATTTTATTCCCTTTCAATGGTTTAGTCAAATAGAATTTTAACTCGCTTTACTTGAGTACAATGCCAAAGTACAGTGCACACGTATCATCGATCAAAAAAGTACCAGATACACAATACCATGTTTGAAATAAATATACAACAATGTAAATTGAACCTTAAATGCAATGCTTAAAGTTGTTTTCACAAAAAAAAAGTTAAATTAAAAGCATGCTCCAATGTTCAAATGAGCGCTCGTTCGGTGAGGACATTTTTTGCCGCTTATTGTGTATCTAGTCCTTTTTAATCGATAATTTGGGTTTTTTTATCTCTTGTTACTAATCGGTAACCATGTCTGTATTGTCAATATAAAAAAAATCTCTATCTCTTGTTTGTATTTTACAGTAGAGTTTTTCCTCTATTTTAAAAACAAGGTTATTTTTTATAAGATTACATATATAGATAATATATATTTTTTCAACTTTATTAAAGTAAAATTTAAAATGTCAATTATTTTGTACAAAATTAAACTCTTTCGGTGAATTGGTCGTTTGGATAACTAAGCACTGAGACGATGGTATGTTAGGATTGAATCTGATATTATTGTACTATACTATCGTGTATTACGTTTTCTTATCTATACTAATATTATAAAGAGGTAAAGTTTGTGACGTTGTAGGGGGTAACATCTGTATCTACTGAACCGGTTTAGATGAAATTTCGTAAGAAGATAGTTTGAGAGTCTGGGAAGGTCATAGGATTAGAGATGTGCCAACTCGGAATAAATATGCCTCGAGTTGAAATTCACGTAACTCGAGTTAACTGCCGACTCTGCTTTCTCTGCTCTATTCGTAATACTGCTCTATTCTATATGTATTAAGACAATTATAATTAACTAGCGACACCCTTGCTTCGCTTTGGTTTCGTCCCTAGACAAAACAAATCTATCCCACGGGAACCGTACATTTTTCCGGGATGATATATATTCCTTCCTCAGTTAAGGGGCTATCTAACGCATAAAGAATTTTTCAAATTGGATTAGTAGTTCCTGAGATTAGCGTGCTCAACCAAACAAACAAACTCTTCAGCTTTATAATATTAGTATAGATTAAAGTAGGTGAATTTAAATAAAAGAGGAATTGGTATGTATCATTTATTTATGTATTTTGTCTTAAGTCTTCGTAACATAAAGTAAATATTTATATTAATTAACAACAAAACTAGTTATGTAGCAGTCTTTACAAAATAATATCAGTCTAACTTTATGATGTAGGTACATAGATACTTATGCTAATAAATGTTTAATTACCACAATCAAACTTCTTAAAAAACTAATTGGACAAGTGTGAGTCGCACTCGCCCACCGTGGCCTACGTACAAATTTGAAGGAAATCTGTTTAATTTTAATTTTTTTAATTTTTTGGAATTTTTCCTTTATTTGTGCTGTAAGAACGTACTTTTTGCCAAATTTCGTGATTCCAGGTCAACGGGAACTACCAAGTACAAATCAACGGGAACTACTAAGGGGTACTTTTGGTTGACCTAGAATTGCCAATTTTTGTTAAAAGTAAGGTGTTACAGCACAAATAAAGGGAAAATTCCGAAAAATAAAAAAAAGTCGAAAATTAAGGTAAATTTTGGTACTCACAAGTTTCTTTCACAAGAAAATCAGTGGTGACTCACGAACATCCAGATGGACAAGAGAGTGATCTTATAAGGGTTCCTTTTTTTACCTTAAGAGGTACGGAACCCTAAAAATATAAATTATTGCATGCTATTAAGAAATAAAATTTGGTCAACTTTTTTTGGTGTTAGATGGTTTCTTCTGTCATTACACAAAATCCTGGCTTTTGAAAATAAGCGCTGTGAAGAAACAGATTTTGCTGGTATACAGAGATACTTATGGGCAATTTTAAATAATACCGGAAATAAACATTTTTTATCATTCCAAAACTGAATTGGATTGATTGATCATTTCTATCAAGATATGGATGTTCAATATATTGCTTAATCATCACAGCTGCCGAAGTGTATGGAGTTGGCTCAGCAGTGGTCTCCATGGTTTTTTATCTACCACTTCCCAAATGTCATCTGTGCCCAAATCAGTTGTATTAGCAGTAGCAGAAGCAATGGGAGTACTGGGACTACTTGCGCTAGAAGGAGGTATGTCTTGATTGCTGCTCATGTTTGATATCTCATTTAATACCCACATTTGAGCATTATTGGCATTACTTTCTAACACAAAACCTCTTTTTTTAAAGCGTGGCTCAAGAAAGGTAGCTTTTGATGCTGTCCTATTAGTCTCATAAACTCCAAGTCGTTTTTCTATTACAGAAGAAAGACTACTTTTTAATCGCTTGCCTGATTCCGTCACTGGCGTGTTGCTGTCTATAGCCTTTCGTAGTCCAAGTACAAGAGGAATAACAGAAGATAAAGTTGGATATTTTTCTCCTGATAAAATTGCTGTCACATTTTTGAAAAAGTAAGGGCGTAAAAGTGTCATCGCGTCTTCTGTCAATAACCATTCATTGGAATCCAGATTTGATGGCAGTGATTCCAGTAGCGGCAAAGTAGCAGAAAGAGATATTTTAACATCCAGTAGGCGCTCGAGCATATAGAAAGTACTGTTCCAGCGAGCACGAACGTCTTGCTTGAGTTTTAATGTATCTACTTTCAGTTGCTCTTGCATTTTGAGTAAGGCATAAGAAGCTTTCGTGCTATATTTAAAATACGAAACAATTGCTCGACATTTTGCTAAAAGTTGTTGTAACTGATTGTTAGAAGTGACAGCAGTGTTCTCTTCTAAATCAAAAGTTCTTTTCTCGAGACAGTCTTTAACTGCGAGATTTATTGTATGAGCAACACAAAAATGATTCCTCTTATTTAAACATTCACTTATTGCTTTTTTCATAGCCGCAGCATTATCTGTAACAATAGCTTTTAAGCTTATTTCCCATTTCCATTACTCTTTGAATGGCCATGGCAATGTTTTCACCCGTATGGTTATCTTTAATTTCCAATGTTTAAATAACTACTGATTGTATGTTCTATAAAATGTGCTGTCAAGCTTATGAAGTTTTTATTGCTGTCCGAAGACCAGATATCTGACGTCAAAGCTAAATAGCAAACATCCTGCAACTCCTTCTTTAAAGATTCTGACTCCAATTTATACTTTTCGTCTATCATCAATACTAATTTTTTTCTACGTGGAAGTTCATAATCAGCATTTAATGCTTTCGTATACTGTTGAAAACCAGAGTTCTCCACTATTTGGAAAGGTTGATAATCCTTAACTATCATATTAATTAAAGCACTGTCACCAGGATTTTGTGCAATCTTCTTTGGAACGGTCAGGCGGGTTTGAGTTAGCCTCAATCTTTTTTGAGGAGGCTTTACCTCCAATGTAGATGGCTGCGACTTCGTCGGATCAACGGACATATTATTCCGATTTGTTGAGTTTGAAATCTGATTGAAATTATTCGTTTCTACGACGGCAACACTTGGGTGCTAATTTTTAATGTGATTTAATGATGTGGTCGTATTCCCAATATATTTGAATGAATTTGAACAATATTTACACTTAACACGTCCACTCACTGACGATTCAAATATAACCCAAACAAGAGATTTCCTTTTAGGTCCTAGCATTTTTAATACTTAATAACACGAAAAACTAACAACAACAACCGGCACTCAAAGTTAGCGTCAAATATGCAATATTGTGGTTTGTGGCATTTGTTAGTTAATGAATATAGTCACAAATGATCAGCAAACTTCGCGCCATATCGCTGTCATTAGGTTGATAGTCGACAGCGATTTAAGTTAAACTCTGTGGCATCTTATTCGGTTATAAATTGTAATAGGCGCGATTTTGCAACATAAATAAATAGTCTGAAGTGCTGACGACTGTACAAAGCGTGCACACAACGAGCGAAGCGTCGCGCTTGCGTAAGAATTAGAGCGCATCAATCGCGTACTCGCTTGATTCATTTATTTATCACGCCAATCCTAATTCGAGTCAGAGAGAATTCAACTCGAGCTAAGCTCAACTCGAGTTAACTCGAGTTGACACATCTTTACATAGGATCCCGGGGGAGAAGCCAACTCCTACCGGGCGCGTCCCCAGGTGGCGGATAGGGGCATGCCACCCGCTTAGAGGGGCGGGTGGTACCGGAGAAATCCGGCGCGGACCAAATGGCTTGGATGGGGCCGCTCGTCTAGGCCTCGAGCCGAAGACGTTGCGGCCACCGGTGGTGGGACCGCTTGGTCCCACAACCGGATGATGGGTGCCGGTTGCGGGACTGTGGTCGCAGGCCTGCATCCGGCGGAGGGGTAGGCCGCGGCGGGAGAGGAGTGCCGGTATTTCGGTGCGCCGTTCTCCCTACCTTCCGCGGCCTAGACGGGGCCGCCACCGTTTGATGGCGGACGCGGTGGGGCTGCAGGGGAAGAGGAGTGTCGGTGTTTCGTTGCCGCTCTCCCTGTCCTCTGCAGCTGATTGGAGGTGGCCCACTTCGGTGGGCGGTGTTTTGGTTTTATGGGGCTGCTCCGGGTACCTCTCTGACGTAGCAGAGTTGACTGTGGAGCAGCCCCATTGGTTTGGTGGCCTGCCTAGTATTTAGGCAGACCTGCCGCCGGGGCGCCGTAGTAGTTATGCGCAAGCGATCCTGCGGCGTCCCACTAAGGCGGGGGGAAGGGGTGTCGGGTTTTAGTGGGTAGTACCGGCTCTTCTAGCCGGTGAGCCCCACATCACCACCTGGGGGATCAGGTGGTATGCGTAAATGCATTTCCCGACGATAAAAAAAAAAATCTTTACATAGGATACTTTTTATCCCGGAAATCATTCCTTAAGGGAGCATAAATGGGGATGAAAGATTGTATGGGGAACTCACCTAGGGACGAACCCGAGCGAAGTGAGGGTGTAGTCGCTAGTATCATAATATAACTAATAACATACCGACGCTTCACGCGGGTGCGGCCCTTTATATATTTTACAGTAACCTATGTGTTCCTGTAGGGTATAGTCTATCTGTTCACCTAATTTCATCCAAATCCGTCCAGCCGTTTTAGTGCGAAGGAGCAACAAACAAACATACATACAAACTTTTATATTTATAATTGTAGTCCAATTATAGGTTGCATTGATGAATATAATGTTCAATGTTCTTTGTTCTATGGCTTATAGGTTGGTAAATATAAGGAGTTTCTTTAAAAATTAAAACCAAATAAGTTTAGAAACCGTTTATTCATACCCTCCACTCGCAGAGCGATAACAAACCTTACAGCCTTAGTCGAAGTGCTACATCAACAAAAAAGTGATCTTATATTAACGTATACCCAACAAACAATATTTTTTTTTAATAATTCGAGAAAAGGTTTACTTATAATTAACAATAAAATGAATTCATACAACTCATATACATTGAAATTAATTGTCTTATAATTATGAAATAGATAACATTTTTAAAAAAAGTACTTCACAGATTACAAAATAATGTGGATAGGTCCCAATGTCAGACATAAATTCGTAATACAGTTTTACTCTTTACACTTTCTAATTTAATTTAGGGCAAAATATATTTAAAAAATCCGGTAATTTTTAAAGTATCAGCGCACGTTAAAAAAAGTTTCTAGGTACCTAACTTAGGAAGTTTGGAAAAAACAAAAAATGCACGAAAGGCCCTTTCAAGGCAAGTGCATTGAAAATAAATCAGCGAAGAAATCCGAAAAGATAGTTCTATTTTAAAATGTCAAATATTCGCGTAGACATCAGAAAGTATTACATTGAATATAAATAAAATAACATTAATTAACAAAACTATACTTCATAACAATAAGAGAGGAGGGAAAAGTTGAAATCATTTTCATTATATCAGATTAAAAGCCTAAAGTTTATTTATTTTAATGACACAATAATTTTACTAGCTACTTTTACTAATGTGTATGTACTTTTTCCTCAAAACCTTTCTGAAGATTCATGCCACCTTTTACCCTTGCTCTCCATAATCTACAATGATACTTATGACGTCATTCGCGCCAAGATTTTTTTTTATTATTGAACGGTGGCTAACGTTTTCATCCTACCTTTCTTTATTTTAAAAGCGAATAAAATTTGAAATTCGAAGCTCATAAGTTTGGTAAGAAAATTGCTCAAAATATTCCAAAAATTGATAATTTTGTGGATGTTTTTTTTTACTATACAGTAAATAACAGCTATTGTTCTATTTTTTTGTTTCGTTTATTTTTTGTACTCAAATTATATTAATTTTACAAACAGACGGAGAATTAATTTTATAATGAATTATAAAAATACTAGCATTTTTTTCATACAAGATCGATAGTATAATTTTGGCCTTTACCTAATTAAATTTTGAGCAAAGGCGCCATATCACATTCCAATAATTTATTTATTTTTAAAATGGCAGGAATAAAATCTCCAAGCTTCAGAAATAATAATTACCTATGTAAAACTTTTTCAGATCTGTAAATGTGATATGACGCCTGTAATATAAATGATTGATAACCAGTTTATATTTTCTCAACAGTAGAAAAAAAATACTTTCATCAGTCCAATAATTGCCATAATAGTATAAATTTAAAAAAAAATCGAAAATTAATTCAAATATTCACAATAATGAAGTAAAATTAATTTGATTCAAATAAATACGGTTCTTTTTGTATTCAAGATTTGTTACTTTTTCTTTTTACATGTTGATATAGACAGATTAAAAATTATACCAGTCCTTAGAATATTTAAAAACAATTATTTTTTTCTTTCCTTTTACCATAATGGAGCATAAAAGTAGAAAAAATAACATTGTTTATCATATTGATTCAAAAATTTAAAAATTGAATACAAGTATAATATTTAAAATAATGTGTATTTTTTTTAATGATTAAAACCAAATTATTTTTCATTAATTTTTTAAACAGGATCGCCACTTAGATTTACCACTTGAAAAACAGATCAACGAATATATGTACATATTTGGTAAACGTATGTATTTTGGTCATAGTGATCTTTAAACAAAACTATGTATGTATTGGACCCTATTATTTAGAATTGGTACAAGCAAGTAGATACTAAGTAGGCATACTTTTAGACCGACTTCAAAAAAGGAGGCATTCAATTCACGTGTAGTGTCACAGTGTTTATATTGTATAGGTAGGTTAGTATAGTATTACTAAATATCCCCACCATTTGTGAGCCAACGTTCACGACAAATTTTTCATCCATATCGAAGAAGTCAGTGTATTTTTTAGTTAAAAATAATTATTCAGTCAAATGGATTTTTAAATCACTAGGCAATAGAAGTCGATTTTAAATTAAAAAAACCTTTAACTTTAGAAAGATCATCTATGTTAATTATATTTGTACAGTGATATATTATCATAGATAGAGACCTTAAAGAATATCTTGTAATCATAATTATTTATTAAAAATATTTTTATTTATTTATACTAATATTATAAAGAAACAGAGTTTGTTTTTTTATTTGTCTGTTTGTTTGTTTGAACGCGCTAATCTCAGGAACTACTTTTCCGAATTGAAAAATATGTATGCAGGTGATATACCTAAATGCATTTTCCAACTTTAAATAAAATGGTGACAGATGCTAGTTTGTTGACCAAAGTCTAGAAAAGTAAAAGTACGGAAGGATAAAAATTGTATGTAGTATCTATAGGTACATATAATAAATGCTTAAGAATATATTACATATCATAATTTCCATAACTATATACATTATTTACATCTACATTATAAATGCAGCCTGGCAATGGTTACTTAAACAATATGAATTGTACATAAACTTTATTTTTTATTTACAATCATTGTGGACGCTAAATGTATGTACCTAAGGTAAAACTTTTTATTTGGTATTTCTTGAATTTTTTTTTGTGTTTTAATGTAATAGAATGAAAAGTCTACTTTTTCTAATGTCTTTCTGTCTGTCTTTTTAATCCTAATGTGTCACTATAATAACAGATTTTATTGTTTACGTACGCGTTTAATGTACGTGAATTAAAAGCTTCCTGAAGATCTTATATGTAACTCGAAAGCTGAATCCGCGAACGTGGTTTAAAATACAAATATCTTGGCAGATTCAGCTGTTTAGTTACACAATAAGCTTAGATATTATAATGAAAGAATTCTGTGAAAATAGTATATGTAGAGCGTGTACAAGTACCGAAATGATCTAAATTAACATTGGTAGAGACATTGGCAGAAATTAGTGGAATAATCAGATAGTTTGCCCTAAAGAAACTAAAAAGGAATCTTGCAAACACTACTCAGTGAAAACATGAAAGAGATAGATAGATAGAGAGAGAGAGAGAGAGAGAGAGAGAGAGAGAGAGAGAGCGAAAGACAAAAGAGAGTTTTTATTCTCAAAGTAAACTTTAAAATTTTAATTGAAGATGAAAATATTTTTGCCTCTATTAGTGTTAATCATTTCGAATGAAAAAAAAAACTTTTTTATAAAATATGATCTGAATCAACCGAAACTAGGGGAATTGACGTTTACGTCTCGTCCGACAGACTTTCTTATATTTATATATCAATTTTTGTTCATATTTTCTAAACTAAGTAATAATGTAGTTTTAGGCAATAAAGCCAATTTACTTAAACTAGTTTAGGTACTCCTGAGACTCCATAACTAACAAACGAAATGACCTTATATCTATTTATTTACACATTTAAATTTATACAAAAAACAGTATATTTTAGTAGAAATGTACTTAAACCCGACCAAAAAAGGCAATGCTTTCAAAATTCAGATACTTTATATTATATAAATAGTTAACTCATGGAAAGATAGCGCTCTATCAAATATTTACTTCATTTCAGGACTGGGGCTTAGACTACATGTCATTCTATAATCGTTGAGGAACACAATTTTAAAAATCAATAAAATTAAAAATTCCCGTACAATTTTTTTTAAGATTTTTATTCTTCAACGATGTAAAATACTATCTTATTAAAGCCTACGGTATCGGCAATTTCTCAACTATACTAAATATTATAAAGAGGTAAAGTTTGTGAGATTGTGACGTTGTAGGGGGTAATCTCTAGATCTACTAAACCGATATATATGAAATTTGGTAAGAAGATAATTTGAGACCCTGGGGAGGACATAGAATACTTTTTATTTCGGAAATCATCCCTTAATCCCTCCACGACTGCGGACACGCCGGCGTTACAGTTAACAATAGATTTCTTAGAAGTTTAATTCATTTCTTAGAAATTACCTGCAGGTGTTAAGTAGGTGAAAATGGGGATGACACTTTGTATGGAGAATCAAGCTAGGGACGAACCCGAGCGAAGCGAGGGTGTGTCGCTAGTGTCAGATAAAATTCAATTTTGAATGTAATATACACGATCTACTAAAATAGCTAGCACTTTGTCTAATTTCTTTTGAAAATTTCAATCTAAAAGCTCTAATTTATATTTACAATAGGTACTTACGTTATTCTTAAGACTAAACCATCATCAGGAAGATCCACACTCAAAAGCCTATTTCATTGAAAACCCTTTACCCAATATCACAGTGGGTGATGTGGTTTCGGTAACCGAATTATTCTAAATATTTTAATTTATTTTTATTAACCTAGTTATTTTAGTAAGTTTCTGTTTGAAGATTGTGTCGGTAAAAATTATTTCAATAATTGTGTAGTACAGGAGACGATGGTCAAATATATACAGCTATTTTCTACTTTATATTTCATAATAGCTATAATTTCTAGAATTCTTGTGCTAGAAAAGAAAATTAGCCCTAATATGTTTCTAATTTGTTCTATAATAAAATTATAATAAATAAATAACTTCTACCTACAGGTTGATTTCTCTTGAAATCCATTTGACTAAATTTTCAAAAAAAAAATAGTTTTTTTAAATAATTTTTTTTAGAAATCTACTATAAGAAGATAATATATCATAAACAATGTTATAATTTCTTTCTATCAATGAAACCAGAAACAAAATGGTATCTACAAATAAAATATAACTTTATGTGCTACATATGAAGGATTTAAAATTTAATGGTTATATTGCATGTTTTATATGATTACGTATACGTATTATCGACATAATGTATGGACATGCCTGACATGATAGTTTATAATTATTTATGGAATTAAAAAAAACTAAATCGTATCTATTTATTAAAATAATAAGATTAATAAAAGGCTTGTCCACATAAATAAGTCGATTTAACAAATATTTTTTCCAGTAAGAATATGAGGAGTGCTTATTGAAGCTAACTTTGAATGATGTATAAAAATAATCCTTATTTAATATTAATTAATTGTGCATAACTTAGATATAACAAACATTCAAAACAGATATAAGTGTAAAAACACAGAAAAACAGTGCATCACAGTTTTAAATAAAACAAAGTGAGCATTCTAAGACGGAATCCACAAATCGGACGGTAGTAATGGACAGGGAGGCTGTGTTTAAATATTAAAAATTAAAAAATATATTTAAATACAAGGTTGGCAAAGTAAAAGTGCCTTAACCTTCTAACAAACTTGCAATCAGAAAAAAATAAGAATTTCAGATAAGACATTGTTTGTATTTTTTATTATTATGTATAAATACTAAAAATACAACCATTAAGTATATAAAAATAAAGCAAATATAATATTAGTTATGTCAAGTAAAAAGTTACGTTTATATTAAAATGTGACTATTTTCGCTCTGAATGACTTGAGATGAGAATCATTTATAACATCATTACGCAATACGGTGAAGGAAAACATCGTGAGGAAATCTGCATGGCTGAGAGAACTTAGCAAGTTTTCTACAGACATGTGACGTCCGCCAATCTCATCTGGCCCGATCCTCTTCGTATTAAGGAACGTTAAAAAGACGTGACTACAAATGGGAGTAGCATATTTTGGACACGGGCCACAACGTTTAGATATGGCCTTTCCATACACTTTTAGCCACCTCGCAGATAATAAAGTAATAGTTCCCTAGAATGTATGGATAGGACTATTTAAACTTCAAAAATAAATGCTAGTTCAGACTTAGTGTTCAAAACGTATGTATCACTTAATTATTAACTATAATATTATGTATAGTGGCAAGTTCTCTACATCTTGTCAGTTTCTTTCAACAGCCGCTATTTTAAATAAATATTCTTAAGATTTTAAGCTGAATGATTTAAAATTTAATTAATGATTAAATTTAATGTCATTAATTTAATGATCGTATCGTTTAGGTTCTAAATTGAATAATCAAAAACATTTAAATTATAAATAGTTAAAAAATATTTTAACATTGGCTAAGTTTTATTGGATATTTTCAATTAATAAAAATATGAATTTTTAATTTAATTAAATTCATGGTAACTTAAAATGTCTGAGAGAAAGAAATAAAAATGTTTAGTTTCAATAAATATGTGAATAATAAGAACAAACATGTTTGAAACTACCTTAGATTAATTTTAATATTAAAAAATAATGATAAAACATGTAACTTAAATTAATGAAGTAACAAATAACTTTGGCAAACTTTAATATATAATTATTTTATTTTTAAGTATTTATTTTAAGAAAATAAATTGCCATTTAAGTATCGGCATTAGTAATTTAGGACGTTATTTTAGAGGACAGAAAATTGAAAGCTGCCTTACAAAATGTTAAGTTTTGTGACTAAAAAGCAGCTTACACTGTTTTATATTAAAAGCATAAGGCCCTTTTATATTTTAGTGATTAGAGTCGTAATTTTGAAAATTAAGACTTATTTTTAAATATTTTGTTTTATTTTTAAATTTGAACGATTTCTTATAGAAGTAGATCCCGATTTATGTAGTGAACCCCTCACTTCCGAATTTTTTTTAAACCATAAAACATATTATAACCAAAAAAACTATAAAAAATGTTTTAATTAAAAATAGCCTGGAGCAAATTTTTGGTGACAACCCCCGTGAGTCGTGTTTGTTAATATTTTATGGCTTAAAAATATATATTTCGTCTGGAAAAAGTATGAGAGGTCCACCATATAAATCGGGATCTTATACTATTATATTGAAAGCATTTTAAAATTTAAGCATTCGAAGATTATTCATAACAAGACTTCTTGAACAGTAGCATATTCTAACTTTTAAGTATTTTATCGAAAACCTTTAACATATCTTCAGTCATCAATTAGGCTTTTTAGATCCATTATGACGTAGTATATTCGCTGTTCTACATAATATAGAGTGCTTGTGTTGCTAAATAAAATAATGGCCAAAAATTGTTAAATTCATTTGAATTGTCTCTTATAATAATAGTATAAGAGCCAACGTAACTTAAAGCAGATCAGGAGATCGATTTTTTTCAAATAGCATTGTTCAGCCAGGCAGTATTAAAAAGCGTTAATTTTTGTTACTATATGAGAAATATTAATTTTGTTGCCTGAGCCTTGGGTTCCGTGGACATTGCATCAAATGACGTTGCCAAGGAAGGTCGCGCGCCAACACGTTGGTCAAGCAGTACGGACACTTCCATTCGTCGAAACTAAGAGCTAAAATTGAGATAAAAAAAGAAATTATAACAAACATATAATTTCGAAACTTTAACATTTTATTTTCAATCAACAAACAGTCAAACAAAGTTGATCTAATAATGAAGTATTTAGTTAAATCAAATAAATTTAAATTAATAGACACTCACGTATACAATTGACGTGGTATTCACTTTCGTCAGAGCGCAGCGCGGCGCCGCACTTCTGACATGGCTTCCAGAGACCCTCACTAAGCGAGCACTCTTCTAAAATATAATAAAAATATTCAAAAAGTTTAAAAAGATTATTTGAAAACTATTAAAAAATGTATTGACAGATTTGTTACCTAAGCCTTATTTTAGATCTTTTTTATTTATAAAATGATTTTTTATCTTTATTTTATTAGAATAGGATTTACAATATAATGTCCTTGATACACCTAAGTCTATATAATTGCAAGTGAATTTAGAAAGATTAAGCGAAATCAAACCTAGATCATATTAGATATAAAGATATGAAAGAAATATATCAAATTTCAGCTTGTTTCAGTTGATAATGTCTATGCTTAAATGATAATAGGTATTCCATCCAGCAAATGGCCTGTAGTTTGGTTTAATACTGTACCTAGAAGATGTGAATGTAGCGCGCGTGCTTCAAGCGCAAGGTGGCAGTGAGGGCAGCGTGCAAGCAGCACGCAGCGTCGCCAATAGTGCGCCTCTAGAGCCGCCGCACGCACCCGTCGTCCGCACCACGTGCACATCGTGCTGTGGGGCAGTCATGTGAGAATTAATAGAAATAGAACTATTATTATAAGTACAAAAATGTGTATGTTTGTTTGCTACTCCTTCACGCTGAATTAGTTGGACGGATTAGGATGAAAAGTACAGATAAACTACAACCTGGAGACTGGAGTAACACGTACTTTTAATTCTCTTAAGCTACTGTTATGGACCTAGGAACGTAAGTAGATATTTTTTTGTACCTAATTGGATTTTTCATCTAAACAGAAATGGAACGTGTATGATGATGATTTTTGTGTTAGCAGATTTGTGCGTTTTCTTTAATTTAGTGTAGATAAATAATAAACTTGGCTTTATATTCCTTGTAGTAATTCGGTGAGTGACATTAAATTATTGTTTTTGTCTACGTTATATTTATTTCTCTTACTACTTTTTATTGTCTTCAATAAAACTCCTACTTATATAAAATAAGTTGGTTTTAATTTTTTATTGAATCTTACTTGCAAACCGGCTCAGGAGTAGTTTCACTGCTTGCATCCACACCAACCGCTTCATAGCCGTCGAAATTGTGCTCGCTGTTAGATAATTGCTGTCGTCTTCCTGCAATAAACAAAATACATTGAGGCTTAGTACAATCTTAAATATTCATATAGAAGTTATAACTAAAATAAATTTAAATAAAAATAAATAAACGTGCTAGTTAAAATAATCACTTTGCCCAAGTAAAAAGAAGCTATGTATACTAATATTATAAAGAGGTAAAGTTTGCCGAACCGAACCGATTTAGATTAAATTTGGTAAGAAGATAATTTGAGACCCTGAGAAGGACATAGGATACTTTTTATTCCGGAAATCATCCCTTAAGGGGGTGAAAATGTGGATAAAAGTTTGTATTGGGAAGCAAGTTAGGGACGAACCCGAGCGAAGCTAGGGTGAGTCCCTAGTATTTAAATAAATTTATAAACAAAACCTTAATAACCTGGACTATAATAACCGCTTTCATCCATCTGGCTATGTTCATCCAAATGCAAATTCCTAACACCAGCTACCAATTTAGGCGATTCTAAACCAACATCTCTAAAATAATCAGCCTTTAACTTTGGTGAATCAAGACTTCGACTGTCTGAATCACATCTTAAATCATTCCTTGACATTAGCGGTGAATCCATTGGAAATGAATCCATCGGTAATGAATCAATACTTCTCATATCATTTTTTGAGGTTTTTGGCGATCCGATTGTAGGTGAATCTCTATATTCTACGTGTAAAGGTTCGTAGACTGTCGCTGGTCTTTCTTTTAGTTGGGGCTTGGAGGCATCATGGTCGTAGTGGATCATCGAGTGTCGGTTCTCTGCGTTGCGATTTGTTCTTCTATAGATTATTTCGTCTTCTTTTGATTGATGTTCTTGGAAATGGACCTGTAATATTATGTAATATTTTTAGTAAAAATTTGCATTACAGTTTTATATTTATTTGGGGTGATTAAATTTTATATTCAGAGTTTACTATCTGCGATTTTACTGTGCATGTAATATGGTAGATGTTTTGACTTAAATTTAACATTATCCATAGATTAAACAATGACATCACACTATTGTTCTCTGCAAGTCGTTAATAGAAAATTTGCTCACTGATAACACTTCATTGTTTATTATATTAGGCGACTTATAAACTTGACAAATTACGAAGCCAGATAATTGTAAAATACGAACTGAATTATAAAAAAAACATTAATGTACAACAAATATACCTTCTCGTTTCCAGAAACAGAAGCTTTAGGAGAGTGTTTCGGACTGACCGCGCTATCTAACCTCAATTTGTTGTAACCTAAATAATTCGTTGAGTCTTTTCCTTTACCAGTCGGCGTGTATTTTTTGGTGGGAGATTTCTTTAAACTGCTTTTTGTTCTTGAAGTTGTGAAGCTTCCACTTAAACTAGATGGCGCTAATGTTGCTCCACTAGCACTTGATTTTAGGCTATATGATGAAGTTGCATCTAATGATGACGCCATCCCCAAGGACGTGGTGATACCACTCACAGTGGTACCACTACGAGTGGATTGACTGACGCTGGTTTCTAGGGTATCTGTGGATTGATCTACGCCGTTGAGAATTTGTTCTTCTGTTGGTGCTTGATTTAACATTTTCTGTAATCATAATATTTTATTAGATTTATGCGAATATTCGACATTTTTAAATGAAACTATCTTTTCGGATCTTGTCGCGGTTTTACTTTTTGGCTTGACTTTTTTAATTTCCCGTAAATGAGATATTTATTGATATGTTAATTCTACATTTATACAAAATCTAGACATATCTTAATTAATTGTATTTTGAACCGACTTCCAAAAAGGAGGAGGTACGAGGTACTATGTATGTATTTTTTTTAACAAACACATTTAAATTATTTTGTCTGTCTGTCTAAGCTTATTAGCTTATTTTGAACCTTTACACATGGTTACTAAATAAAAATAAGATAAAATTCAAGAATCTAAACTTTAGCATTTTAAATAACATATTAATAATTTTATCACAAGTTACAGAGTACCTGATTCGGTATTTTCTCACATTGTGTGAATTTATATGATAGAGAAATGGAAAAAAAGGATGCAAGATGGAGGGAAAAAAAGATGAACGGCAATTACTAGAAAGTCTTATGAACTTTCCACCGACCTGCATATCAATTCTGTCAAACTGTTGGAACAGGTGTCTGTATATTAGATTGCGTCTGGTGACCGCGTCATCTGGTGGAAGCTGTGCTCTCACAACTCTAGGGGATCGAGCGTAAGCGGCCAGCAATATCCTCTCCGCGGCCGCCCGCACTGAGCCCGCTGCGTGTTGCGCGCCCGCCGCCCCGCACTCTGCTAGCCGACGGACTGTGAGACCACTGAGGAAATATTTGAGATACTTCACTACATATTGTATTCCGCGCTTTTTAACTCCCACTGTTGGACACGAGCTTCCCTTCAATACGAGGGGGATCAGGCCATAGTCCACCACGCTGGCCAAGTGCGGGTTGGTGGACTTCACATGTCTTTCGGAAACTTGATAAGTTCTCTCAGACATGCAGGTTTCTTCACGATGTTTTCCTTCACCGTAAGAAAAGTGATAATCATGGTGGAAATTATTTGCACACTAAAATATCAGAAGTGCGAGACCCGGGATTTGAACCCGCTTCACTCAGATTCCCAAGCGAGCTCGTTACCTCACTACGTAATAATAATTAATTATTATTATTGTATTAGTTGATAAAAGCCATTAAATATTATTAATTGAAAATTACAAACACTTAAAACATTATGTTATACGTATTACGTATATTGCACAATGTGCATTATCAAAAATTACAACAACTTCTTACCATTACAAATCTAATCATATTATATTAAAACATAACAATTGTTTTATTTGATAACATTAATTAACGTTTATCGTATATATGTATAATATCTAAGTTCTAAATGTTCAACAAAGTGGGCCGTAGGTTCGACCCCCGCATATTGGACTAGTACCGATTACAAAAGCGAATGTTTGTATGTGTGTATGTTTGTTCCTTTACGTTGAAAAACCTAAAGTGATTTTATATGAAACTTAGTACATAGATGACCTGGAATACCATATTGGGAAGTCGCTGTTATCTTTCAATATTGAATATTCCATTACCTTTTGGTACGTATTAATAAAGTTTCAAGTTAACAACACTCTCATTTTGAGTAATATGGCACTAAAACAAACTTCATAATTTATTATGAAGTATTTATTATAATTAATTACATTAGTAAACATTAAAGTAAATTAAGTCAGCGAATCTGAGATGACGAAACAACTAAATGTTATGACAAAATAAAATATTTATACCTACGTGTAACCCACGCGTCTCTACATAATCTATACATATAATAAAATTGTAACTAAGCCGAATCTGTACATTAAATATTTTTTGGAAAACCTTATTGACATAGACATTATTATTTATTATCGATACAGAGGCCGAATCTATAGTTTTTAGAATTTTTGTCTGTCTGTTTGTCTGCCTGTTACCGCATCAAAGAAAAACCACAGAAGGAATGAAATGGTATGGTGATAGCTGGTTATCCGGGTCAACGTATAGGATACTTTTTACCGCGGGAAAATATCTCATTTCTGAGAAAAAATACAAAAACTGCATTATAAGAGTATACTAATATGTAAAACCTAAGAATTTTCTTTTCGGTCATCTGAACGCGGCCGGAGCCGCGGGACTAAAATTTCCTCGATCCATCAAACTTTCTTTTAAAAAAAAATTATGTTGTAATATGTTTACTGATAAAGAATGTTTTAAATAAAGATATTAAATGATTTAGTTAGTATTACGTTATTATTTAATCTAAATTCTTATTTTTGATGAGCAAAGCCAGAATAAAAACTAATGTTACTAGTTTAAAATTGTGAATTCTTCTGTACGATTTTATATTTTGCTAAAATATTATAACGGGGATATAGCTCAGTGGCAGAGCAATCGACTGCAGATCGATAGGCCCCCGGTTCAAATCCGGGTGTCCCCTTGTGAAGTATGATTTTTTATTTGTTGTTATTACGTGTTGTTACTATAAATGTTTTTTTTATCTCATGTTGTCTTGATTGGATTTGATTTAAAAATAGATATTTTTTTGGTTTTTCTTTTAGAATTGTATAATAGTTATACAAGCAACATAATATTACGTATATTTATACGAGAATGGAGATCTTTAATTTTAGTCTGTAAATTAATTGCCACAAAAAATATGTATAACCTGTTCTTATCAGTAGATATCCCATGGCTCAGAATCAGCTGCTCAAGCATTTGCAGGCGCGAGAGTGCAAGGCGAGGGTGCATGGACGCGGCCACCGGACGGACGAGCTGCTGTGGTATAATGTGAAGAGATCTAAAATGAGAAAGAGCTCATATTATTTATAAGTAAGCATTGTTTTCATTATGGCCTATTATAATTAATCAACCAAATATTTTGTAAAATACTTATTTCTTCCCATAAATCCCTCTTTTACATGTCGTTTACTTTCCACCATATTCTTAAGTAGAAACTTGTTTGGGACCAATCATTTATTTTATTTCATCATTATTGTCATTTGGAATTGCTTTCTGCGACATTTGTCGTACGCCAGACAACTAGACAAAACAAAGCCTTCACAGATTGGGCACTAATCTGAGGTAATAAATGGCAGAAACTATAATAAAGTTATCTGAAAAGAGACTTTTGCATTGGTAAGACACCAGGATGACATTATAGATAATTTAAGTAATAACTCACCTAACTAGTGGGCAATCAGCGACAGTAAGAACGGTATGCTGTGCGGTGGAGTGAACACGCGGCGCAGGGTCTCCACACGCGCGCAGTAACTCTGGTAGCAGCTTCTCTATGCAGCGACCGACTTCAGCTGCACATACGCTGTGGGATGAAATGATCAATAGTATATTTAAATTCCATCCTATTATGTATAATGTATAATAAGTCGGTGATTTGGCCGACAAAATGCAGGAAAGTAGGTTGTGATAATATGGTTACGTAAAAAGGAGATTGCCTAATGACGTGGGGAATTTGGTATAACAGCTTTCTATCCCAGGTCGAAGATCTAGAGACAGACAAAAATTAAGGCGAAAAGATGTCGTGTCAAAGGAAATGAGGAAGTGAAGTGAAGAAGGAAAATAGGGAAAGATGACCCTACTACCATATTATGAGATATATCTGCCAGGAAGAGAAAAAAAGAGAGTATGTCCTTGAGTTAGAAATAAAATTCTATTGATAAGAGATTATCATGGATATTATGTTTACATTTTAATTGTTTACATTATGGATATTATATACTTTACTATAATATACTCAAATATATGTACATACATAATTTAACTACTATATAAATATATGCAATCTTACCGATCCGGCACAAATTCCTTAAAGAGCACCCTAACGACTTCATTAGCTTGACTATACACGGAGAACACTTTGTCCCTCAAAGTCCGTTGTAACAACGCGGCAGCAGCTCGAGCGGTCTTGTTGGGCGACGTCTTAGTACTACCATTGGAGGGTGACGTTAGTTCTGCTCGCAAACGTGCCAAGCCTTCTTCTTTGTCCAGATAGTTTTTAGAGAAGAATTTTTCCACCTGTTATTTTAAATTTTATTGTCGTGTTAAAAATTTGCGTATAATTATGATTAATCAATCTTATTTTTGTAACAACAGTTAATAGAACATATAGTCCATGACAGAAGTTCGGACATAATGTGACTCCGATTTTATGATGGTCTGGACTGGAGTAGGGTTTATAACTCAATATCATTTGAGTAAATTTCACTTAATGATCGTGAAGGAAATGTACAGAGTATTATAGAACGCATCCATACTAATATTATAAATGTAAAGGTGTGTTTGTTTTGTCCTTCTTTCACGTCAAAACGGAGTGACGATTTGGCGTGATTTTTTGTGTGGAGATAGTTGGAGGGCTGGAGAGTAATATAGGCTACTTTTTATCGGGGGAGATTATCTACGAGAAAACACGTTATAATACAACCCAAAAAATATTTGTGATCATAATTACTTGAAACTTGGTATTAATGCTCTTCAATACAGTTAAATAAATACGTATTTTAGCCTTTTTCGAAATACATCCCCTATGGGGGTAAAATAGGGAATGATAGTTTTTATGAAACCTATCTTTTTAGTAGTTCTTTTTGTAGTTTTAGCGCGAGCGAAGCCGTGGGTTCTGCTAGTATTATATATATTAGAGAGTTAAAGTATTTTCTGAAATTCAAAAAAGAAGATATTACATAATATGTTTTATTAAAATTTTCATAAATAATTTCGAGAATTTATACCCATTTTTATGCAAAGATTTAAACTGTATATAATTATAAGTATAGTAACTTACCAAAGGATACCCAAAAATAAGTATAGGTAGCGCGGCCTGCTTGCGCTCGCGCTCGTTGAGTTTGTGTGGCGCGCGCACATGTGACGACGCACTGCCGCCGCTGCATTCTTCTTCGCGCGCTTCCCGCAAATATTCGTTTGTATGTGAACTGGAGAGTTAATTTGTTTTTTTTATTATTAGTTTTTTTTATATTTGGGGCCACGAAGGATCCAAAAAACCATAAATAGAATAGAAATATCAATAAAATCGGTATTTAATTGAAAATTATATCTCGTAACATAAAAACAAAATACCAGATTTATTCTCCTCTTGGAGGGATTTTTTTATTTTTATTATTCCATATTACGTATATTAAAAGCTGTACTTGCGCTCTAGTCTATATATATATATATATAGGTATACTCGTATAGACGAGATAGAAGATTTATCATAAAGCTTATTTTATCAAAAATTGAACCACATACTGTCTCAACGCTGGCAGTAGTCTCTCTTCATAAGCTTCGAATGTGGATCTTGGTCCTGCACTTTTATTCCTTCGTCTTACTAATGTACCTGTACAATATATTCAAATAATATTTATAAGTACAAAACAGTTATTATTCACCTTATATTCAGTCTAACAGGTACTATAATTTGTAGTACATATATTTACATGTAACATAAATAGAATGTAAATAAATAGCATCTATCAGTGGCCTTTTTCCGGTAATATAACAGCCGAGTCAACAAAAATTAGCGTATGTTACTCAGGCAAAATAATAATTTATTCTTATTAAGTTTTGTTTACCATTGGCAGCATTTGGTGTAACACTTCTACGGGGGCTATCTGTTTCTTTTCTTAATTCTTCTTCTTCTTTCTTCTGTGTTTCAGGCTTATCTTCTTGGATGGGTTCAGTTGGCTGGGCGGGTTCTGGTTGTACTTCTGTATCATCTTCAAAATTTTGGACGGGTGACTGTTAATAGAAACATTAAGTTTTCTCATTATTAACAGTTGTTATCAAAGATTTTTTTTAAGATGTAGAGTTTTGAATTTTCAATTCATTACGAATGAATATCTTGAGATCAAGCTATATATACAAAACATTAATATATCACTTGCATTTCATTTATTTACATTTTTTTTTGACAAAATTGAGCAGCTTATAGTCTTAAAAAGAAACATTTATATAGTCAATATATCGTTCAATCATTGTCTAACCTTTATAAAACAACATTCTTTTGACCTACCACGGGATTCGAACCCAGGATCAAACAATCTGCAGTCATCTAGGAACTAATAATAAGACATACAAATACTTACACTAGGTATATGATCAACATCATCAACCCCATTGAATTCGGTCTCCATTCTATCAGCGAGGTCGGCCTCCACGGGCGGCGCAGGCGAGGGCGCGTCGCAACCCGCCGTCACAGAGGGAGAGAGGTGGTGCGAGAAGTCGTAGGCTTGTGGCATTGATGAGTCGTTACGACGGTCGGGCTGCTTATAGTATAAATATTTATTTATCTATCTAAATATAGACTTTATTATATCAATTAATGTAATTAATAATTAATTATTATTTTAGCTGTAAACTTTTTCTAAATATGATTTTATATAAAGCTAGATTTTCGATTGAGAGGAACCTGTTTTTCGTATTTCATTCAAGTATTTAAGCCGTTACATCGTACACACAAACAGATTCACACTTTTAACACGTTTTTCATTATATTAGTGTAATATGATGTGCAGTATAGTAAAAATAAATAAAGTTATATTTCATTGACTCCACAAATTAAACTTCATCTATACATAAAATAGTTCTGTCTTTCTGGAATCTGTACATCATTTTTTTTTTTTTAAATTGTCATTATTATCGATACAGAGGTCGAATCTTTAATTTTTAGTATTTTTGTCTTTTTATCACCATGCCACGCCACGTAAAAACCACTGGACAGATTTCGATGAAATTTGGTATGATGATAGCTTATTATCCGGGTCAATATATAGAATATTTTTTGCTGCCGGAAAATATGTCATATCTGAGAAATATATACTAAACGTTAAAACGGATCTAGGGACGAACCCCCTAATAGTCATTAATTCTATATAACACTAAACATTTAACACCTTAGTTAATTAAAGTAGGAATAAACCCTCACCCCTTCATCTTCAAGCAATCTAATCAGTTCCGGGTCCTCCTTCACACCGATGATGGCATCAGTGATCCTGTCCCTCATACGCCTCGCTAACTCGAAGTCGTCTCTCGCGGCAGCCTGTCTCTTGCGCAGGCGCCACCTCCCTATCCGTATACCAGCAGACGCGAGAGCTGACCCCGCGGACTTGAGACGACGTGCGTATTCGAAACGTTCTTCTGTAAATGATAGAATACTATATAATTAACGTATTAAATCTTATTATATACAAGGTGTGTATATAATGGAGCAATTTTAAGGCTGTGTCATCAGGCCAGCTACATAGATACGCTCATGTCAACAGTTCGAAAATTCAATTACAAACACTAATAACAGATATACGAACGGAGATATTAATATGAGAGCTTGGAAAATATTAAAAAAATATAGTTATAGCGTTTTATTTCTGGGCGGAATTCGACCTTATTCTTACCAGCAACTGCCGCTTTTTTCTTTTGATCTAAAGTCCGCACCAGATCAGCAATTTCGTTATCCACATACATAACAAAAGCCAGATCGTCGTACGGTGAAAAACATATCTCTGCTTTTTTCGTACTTGTGGTTTTATTGGCATCTTCCACTTCGTCACCTAGAACGTTTACTGCCATCAACGCTACCTATAAAATAAAATATATTTTTTTCTACGTGACATAGTTAAAATAAAATATACTTATCGAGCGCGCTATTGTTAAAAAGTATTAAACTACTCCTTTAAAATTTGAAAGTTTGTATGTGTTTTAAAATAAAACTGTTTTTTCGGATTTTTTTGTATTATTTTTATTTTATTTTTATATTGTTACACATTCGCGTAAATCTAAGAAAGTATTTTATATATATAGGTATTTGTATGTTATTCCTTCACGTAGAAACGCTCGGATGGACTAAATGAAATTAAATACATCAGAATCCAAATAGGAATTCAGAAAGCGAGAGTAAGTCGCTTGTACAAAGTACTCTTTTAAAGCTCTTGGATAATCATTTCGATCAAAATTATTTAACTCGTCTACCTGATCATTTTCTGGTGCCGGAGAATGTGGTCCTGACAGCCGGAGTTTTACGAATCTCGCTACTGTCGGTTCTGGGAGAGCTGCGGACCTAAAAAAATATTTAATATTTATTGAAGTGAAAACTTGTATAGGCAAGTTTGGATGGGGAGTAAATTAATGTAAGTCGTCATCGACATGGTCACGTGACGTGTTAACCCTAACACTCAGAGTGCCGATAGATGTCAAAACCAGATAAACAATTTTATTTAAAAATTTTAATATTAGATCAAACAATTAATTTGAATATCCAAAAATAACAAATGTTAGTTTATAGTTTTAAGTTTTAACTTAGTCGGCACTCCTCATGACTGCTTTTTTTTTAATTGATAACACTTCCAAGCTATAAATAGAACTTCTGTCAGAAATTTTCGGTTAATTTCATTTCCGGTTTATGACATTTTTTGACCTTATACGTATACGTTTAAGGTCGAAAAATGTCATAATGAGATAAAAAGAAATAATTTCTTCTACTATAGAAGGGGAATTATTTTTTTTATCTTTGAATTTTTCTGCTGATTTAGTTGAAACTTTATAATATTTTACGATAATTAATTGGATTTCAGTAATGTTAGTAAAATTAGGTAATATTAATCCCTTAACTATTAATAGACCTTGTAATATACCTAGATATTATTGAAACCTACAATCAATAACAATATTTTGTCACTAACATTTTGTTATAGGCATAAAAAATATAAAATAATAAGGAACTCAAATTCAAGCAAAGGCATAAATAAAAATACTATTGTAAAGGCTTGATTCTAGTAAAGAAAAAAAGTCGTAGGTAAATTCAATCCAAATTATATTTGAACAAAATGGTAGGTACTTTAAAAACTAATTACTTAAATTAATAATTTCATCCTTAACAAAAGAAATAAGAATAATAACTATTAATTAAGAAAAGATAATTGACATGAATTATAGAGATAGTATTTTCAAAGATTTACCTAAGTTCTCTAGTACGAGCGTGAGGCACAGGCTTAATGAGAGCGACGCGGCCAACGCTCGTGTATGTAGCGCCGCAGGGCGTCGCCGCCCCTTCGGAGATGAGACCGCCGGATACCAGCACTTCTACGCACTCCGCTGTGGAAAATAAGAAAATATCTAAAATATCTATCATTGGATTATTAAAGTACGAATCTCATTATATTAAACGAGCAATGCTTGTCAGTATGTATATAAATATACTTCGAGTATCTTGGAAACGGCTCTAACGATTTTGATTCAATTTTGTATTTAGATAAGGTTTGATTTTTAAGTATATGGGTCTTTTCTAAAAAAAAACCAACTCTATATATTTTCGGAAAAATGCCGAGTGAAGCTCAGTCGCCCAGGTGATTAATGCTTATTATAAATTAAACTAATTGCTAATAATACACTGAGTTACAATAAATCACAGAAGATAAAAGATATTTTTATTTATATTTTAAATAAAATATCTTTTCGGATATCTCAAAACCACAATCTTAGTTTCTCCAATGATCATGGTTGCTGTAAGCATTCGGAACGTCACGAACCAAAAATCAAAATAAACCCGCGAAAAAATCCGTAAAGATAGGTTTATTTAAAATATCAAATATTCGCGTAAAAGCAGATTTTCATATGATTTTCACCATAGAACGAGGAAATATTTAGTTTATACGCTATAATATCTGAACAAATTGCGAAAATAAAGTACCAGTGGGCAGTGGGATATTTATAAAATATTTCAGGAAAAATGGCTTCTTTTGCGAATTTTTGTAACAACATAAATGCCAAGGACCTATTTGTGTAATTTTTTAAACAACGAAATTTTTCCTTTGAATTTCGTTCAAGAGCTTTAAGTGTTAATTTAGAATAGTTATAATGTACGTATATATATTTTTTATGAATTATTAATAAATGAACGTTGATATTCTAAAATATTTACATTTCAAGTGCAAATTAAACGTGATTTTTCCTAAAATTAATTGATATTATATTTTCTACTTTTTCATAAAATGCAATAAATCAACCAGACTAATAGTATTACGTATATGCTGATGATGTGCAAGCAGTTGAAGTTTGTGTATGTTGGTGACTGCGGTCAGGCGGAGTAGGAGCTCGTGTGGGGGAGACCCTGAACTTCTCCATCCTCGAGCCTCTGGACCCTGGGCGTTTAGCTCGCATGCTGGATAGGAACTGTCCTCACCTAAAGCATAAAAAATGCTAAGTTTTAAATAGAGATATAATAGAAAATTCAACTTGTAAGTTCTTTAATTACGTACAATAGGCTACAAAAATCTTAACTCTTCTTTACCTTACTCAGGAAATTAAGGCAAAAGTAAAGAATAAAAAATGATTGCGTCGACTCACGTATTTTTGCTACAATATAAAAATAATTCGGAAAAATAGGAAGATTGATTTTTTATACATTTTATTTCATATCGTTGTATATATAAGGACATTTTGAATTATAAAAAGAAACACTTGTATGTCGCATAATTAGCCAAATTTCACTTTTCCATACTTTCGAAGAAAACAAGTTGGGACAGAAAGACGACACGCGTGAGGGTTCGACCTTCGCCTATTCTTTTTCATCAATAGAAACTTAAAAATTAAGCTGCCTATGATATTCAATTGATTTAAATAATAAAGAAGCAATACAAAGTTACAGTAGATTTTCATATAACATTGCTTTATACGTTCATACAGTAATATACAAGTTCCAAGGGATTAAAAATTCATCACATGGACCACTTAATCTAAATTTTTAATGTAAAAGAAAAACAAAAAAATATTCTCTTTATCTTTCTTTCAATAAAAATAATCCATTGACTTTAAAATTCTAAAAGAAATTATTGCACCATCAAAGATAGAATTATATTTTTTAATTTATATGAAATCACTTTATTTAGGTGGAATACGGTAAAGGAAAACATCGTGAGAAAACCTGCATGTCTGAGAAAACCTAGCAAGTTTTCGAAAGATATGTGAAGTCCACCAACCCGCACTTGGCCAGCGTGTTGGACTAAGGCCTGATCCCCCTCGTATTGAAGGGAGGCCCGTGCCCAGCAGTGGGACGTTAAAAAGGGCTGAATACATGGAATCACCCCAAAGAGTCATACTCTATTCATTAAAAAAATGAATGATGAAAATTCACATTATATTCGAGTAACGGACTTCAAAAGTATTTAAAGTACATATACTATATGTTGACCCGGATAACCAGCTATCACCATACCGAATTTCATCAAAATCCCTCCAGTAGTTTTTCTGTGATGCGGTAACAGACAGACAGACAGATATCAATAATAATGTTTATTTTAATAAGATTTTCCAAAAAATATTTAATGTATAGATTCGGCTTAGTTACAATTTTATTATATGTATATAGATATATAAATATCTCGTGTCACGGTGTTCGTGTCATGGTGTTTAAGTAATGAAAATCTTTAAGTTTGAAACCTTTCCTTGAAATATTTTTCTTTGGCTGACGACATTTTAAACGCACTTTGAAATTGACTCTTCATTTTTTGAAATCGGTCTAAAACCTTATAAAAAATTGGAGACTACCTCATAAGCATTTTTTTTAAGTCTATAAATTAACTAGCATTGCCCGCGGCTCCGTCCGCGTTCAGATGACTAAAAAGCAAATTCTTAGGTTTTACATATTAGTATACTCTTATAAATAAATAAAATAAAAATAAAAATAGTTTTTATTTCTTAATCATTTTTTAACATTTTTGTGTTCGAGTCTTCCCAGTAAGTAATCCGAAGGATACTTGTGTTGGGAATGGCCCGCTTCTTCCCATATGCATACTCTATGATTATGTTAGGATAGTTACATGATTTAAGTTATTTAAAGCAAAGAAAATTATATAAAATCACAATATTAACAACTGAAGGTTGTTATTGCATGTACAATTTTACTAATGTTAATTTATAATGTTAGGAAAATTACTATTTTAAAAGGTAAGTACATCTGAGTAGAACACCTAGATATAAACAAAGTCTTCGTATGCTAGTTTTCAATAACAGTTTCAAGATGATCTAATCGATATTAATAATACATATATATATATATATATATATATATATATATATATATATATATATATGTATATACTTGTTTTGCATTTTTTGCATTTGCAGTTTTTGTATTTTTTTCTCAGAAATGAGATATTTTCCCGCGGTAAAAAGTATCCTATATGTTGACCCGGATAACCAGCTATCACCATAACAAATTTCATCAAAATCCCTTCAGTGGTTTTTCTGTGATGCGGTAACAGACAAACAGACAGACAGACAGACTAAAATTCTAAAAACTGTAGATTCGGCCTCTGTATCGATAATAACGTCTATTTCAATAAGATTTTCCAAAAAATATTTAATGTACAGATTTGGCTTAGTTACAAGTTTATCTTTATATATATATATATATATATATATATATATATATATATATATATATATATATATATATATGTATAGATTATTATAAATGTAATTTACTATAATAATAAATGATGAACGTTTACATTGTAAGCCTACTAAAATATTTACAAAGGCTGTCACGAAACTGCCGCATAAATTCATAATGTAACCTTTGTAACCTATCGTACATGTATCGATTGGAAGCGGTTTTGAGCTTTAATGATTAAAAACTTTTATAACCCTTTTGTCTGTATAACTATGTATATAGAGCATGTTGTAGTGGATTAGGCCAGAGTTTCTCAAAGTGTGTCTCGCGAGCCTCTAAAAGTTCATCAGTAGGGAGAATAATATGAGGTTCGCCCACATATTGAGTCGTTGTTTTCATCTATACATATGATAAAATTGTAACTAAGCCGAAGCTGTACATTAAATATTTTTTGGAAAATCTTATTGAAATAAACATTATTAGCGATATAGTAGTCGAATCTATAGTTTTTTAGAATTTTTGTCTGTCTGTCTATCTGTTACCGCATCACAGAAAAACCACAGGAGGGATCTTGATGAAATTTGGTATGGTGATAGTTGGTTATCCGGGTCAACATATAGAATACTATTTACCGCGGGAAAATATCTCATTTCTGAGAAAACGTACAAAAACTGCAATGTAAGAGTATACTAATATGTAAAACCTAAGAATTTGGTTTTTTGTCATCTAAACGCGGGCGGAGCCGCGGGCTATTCTAGTATGAAATAATAAATGTACTAAGCGAAATAATGTTTTTTGAGTTTACTCTGATTAGGTATATTTTCTTAATATTCAAATGAATGGCTTCACAAATATTTTTTCAGTGCAATATACAGTATTATATTACCTACTAAATTACTAATTACGCTTTATTCTTTTAGTAGGTCTTCTCTATCTTTCGCTTATTTTAATTTAATGAATGTGTCTTTGTAAGTTGGTGTTATTAATAAAACTAGCGACTCACCCTCGCTTTGCTCGGGTTTGTTCCTAGTGAAAAACAAAAATGAATTTATACCTCGGGACTATCTCTGTGTCAAATTTCATCCAGATCCGTTTAGCCGTTCTGACGTAAAAGAGTAACAAACATTCATCCATCCACACAAACATTCACAATTTTATAATATTAGTATGGATTAGGATAGTTAAGTCATAGCAAAAAGATCTTTAATCTTATAGACATTATATATTTCTAGAGCTATAAAAAGCTTATTTTTTAAAGAAATTGAAATTCCACGCGGACATGGCTTGTACAGTGGTAATGAAATGTTTTTGTTTTGTATAAGTATATAATTAAGTATATTTGTAATTTCCTTTATGTAAAGAATTTGGCACATTTTTAAGTCGGAACTGTTTTATTTATCGGCGACCATAAGCCACGAAATTCATTTGTAATGAATGGCACGCTTTTCACATTTTTGTTTTTGATGAGGAAATTTTTATGACATTAAAACGCCGTGTCAAAGGTGTGGTGTAAAATCTTAACTTAATTGAAAAGAGTCTATACGTACTTGCTTGCGCAAAAAAATATTTTTTAACAGAAATAGCATCAAACTAAATTGTTTAAGTATACACTAATATTTTTTTTTGTTTATTGTTTTTTATTTAATAGATTAAAAAACAACTTTAAAGTGACATTTGATGAGATTATAACATAGTCCATGTTATAATAATCATATATTATGTAAAAATAATCCGTGTTAACAGTATTATTTTTTCTTTAGGAGATTTAATATAAAAAAACATATAATAGTATGTTATTATAATATTACTACCGTAATAGTCTATAATAACAGCTGCTACTTACAAAAAAATTAAATAAATATATTTTTTAATTTAAATATAATTTTTACGTACTTACTTGTTGCATAAACTACGTGGAAAGGGATACGTTTAGGCATTATCCCTGGGAAGCTACCTGCATACTCTTAAAATATACACTGCCATATTTCTTCTACTATGAAACACTGTATGAAGACATAACAGATACAAAATAAACTATCACTATAAAACTACCTTTCACCATAAAATTATATATATAATAAATATTTATTTAACAAAATGCGACAGAACAGAGGATGGATAAGTTTGTGCGGAACAAAATGAAGTGCTACTAGTCTACCAACATTGGTTCCAATAGAAGTAATGTCTAATTCAAGCAAAATTGGCGTTATCATAATAAAGTTGGCCCAACATGCCAACGGCAATTGAATAGAACAAATCAATAATGCTGTAAAGCGCCACTCGCTACAACGCCATCTATCAAGGGGTGGGTAAGTTTTATTTCGTTACGTCATTCTTATAAATGACTTTGTTGTTTTGTTTTTATACCATCTATAAAATAGAATCAATATTAGATTATATGAACGACAAGCAAACCCGTATAAATTTTGTTTTCTTTAGCTTGGGGGTAGAATTTGTACCTTAGAGTAAACGTTTCTGAGGTTCTCTCTCCGAAATCTCTGTCTGGATATGAAAATCGTTAATTTTTCTATTAAAACTAACCAGGGTAAAAACTATCCTATCTTTTAATTTGAAACCACCACATATTTAAAAAAATATATTTAAAATCGGATAAATAGTTTTAGAGTTCATCGCGGACCAACATCGCGACACGAGAATTTTATAAATTAAGATATGTTTAAGATAAAATGTTATGAAAATGCCTTTAAAGGGATGACAGTTTTCAAAGTGGTATTTATTTAGGTATCCTATATGTTGATCCGGATCCATCCACCAGCTAGCATCATCATCGTGATGCGTTCCCAGACAGACAGACACACAAAAATTCCAAAGACTGTAGATTCGGCCTCTGTATCGATAATAATGACTATTTCAAAAAGATTTTCCAAAAGTTATTTAATGTTGTCTACATAAAATAAGTTTCGACTCAGAATTTTATTATATGTATAGATTTTAAACATACGTATAACGTAGTTATACATATATAAATAGACTACAAATAGAATAGACTAATAATATATAATATGATCAAAATAAAAAATACCATTGATGTACGCTTACGCAACAAGAATTCCTTGTTATTAATGAGAAAAGCTAAAGCTAAAAAGCTCTTGGCTATAGATATAGCATGCGCAAGGAAAATTTGAAAGTGTGCCAGAATTCAGGATATCGTGCCAAATTGTCAGAAAAATAAATAATTTATTGGTAATATTTAGTAATAGATATGAAAATATCTTAAACAAATTAGTTACATTGGATCTTCAATTTAACCAACTTTAAAAAGGTATGGTACTTAATTTGGTTTAATTTTTTTATCAGTTCATTTTTCGTTTATACTCAAAAGCTGTTTTTACGTACTACGTAACGTACGAGTAAAGCAACGGTAAGTCACTTGTAATATAATTTTAACATGTTTTAGTATATATTTGTCAACTATATTGTATTTGTTAACTATATTGGTATTTTTTAAATACGTCAAGGAATGCGAACACCAGAGAAATGTGTGGCATAGGTATATTTTTTAGAAAAAACTATACGCATTGCATACATGACCACTCTCGTGTAGTCGTTTCTTTCTTTTTGTTTTCTAGTGTTTAGATACACATATACTATGCCAATGGCTGTTTGTGTGGTATGTCAGTAAAAATGGTGTTACATAAGGATTGTAAAGCTTTTTAGTGGAAATTACTTCCAGTAATTCCTCATACGAATTTTACCTCATACAACATCCGTTTTATCTGCGGCTTGATATAAAGTTGTTTGTTTACTTTGCAGAATTTCACTTAAATCCGTTGATTAGTTATCGCGTATAGATGAAACAAACAAACAAACATTCGCTATTATAGTGTTAGTTAGTAATGCTTTTTATATCATCTCATCTCCATTTAGATTACTTCTTAAAGAACTTTTATGGCTCTGCGCCTACATAAATTAATTCTAATGAACCGACTGTAATAAAGGAGGTTATCAATTCGATACGTATGGACATATTATGTATGTAATATTATTTTGTGTGTTATTTTTAGGAGTATACTATAGAGTTAAAATAAGTGTAAAACTATGTATTTTATAAGTTTTATTATTATTTTTGTTAGTTGGGAACATTTAGATTTTTTTAAATGTAAAATATTATTTTTTACAATAATTCGCAGGAGCATTCTTAAGAATCCAGCCGAGTAACGCAGTAACGCGAGTACTGACAGCCGGTGTGGTAGACGCGCAGAAAGTTCCGAAACTAATAATACCAACATTAAATAAAAGATTTGTTTTTGGATCTGTATAGAGTAGAGGACCTCCGGAGTCGTACTGCAAAAAAATATTGTTTCTCTATTAATTTACGCGAAAGAGGTTTAGATAACTTAAATTTTACCTGAAAAAAAAATTACTTATAATTACTGCCCTTTTAACTTGCAGTCAAGACATTTTGTTTATTTCTTCATAGAAGTAAACCTTGCTATAAGTGGTGGTAAATATTACAGCTATAAGGCTGAAATATTTGTAGTTTTTGAGATACAGAACATTTTCAGTACCACGCGTCCGTCCGTAAAACCCAACATTTTAATATTACATTAAAGTAGATTCTTGAACGTGTTATAAGATCTTGTTAAAAAACTATATATTATTAGCGACTCACTCCTAGTTCGTCCCTAGTGAAAAACAAAAACAAATCTATTCCACTGTACATTTTTCCGAGACAAAAAACTAGCTTATGTGCTATTTCCAGACTATGATCTATCTCTGTGCCAAATTTCATTCAGATCCGTTCTGGCTTGGAAGAGTAACAAACAAACATCCATCCATCCATCCAACCTCACAAACTTTCACATTTATAATATTATTCGTTACAAGAATTACTCACTGAAGTTTGAATGTAATAGAAAAATAGGAGGACGATTGTCGACGACCAATCGAAAATATGGATAATCTATATAAAACACAACATTTACACCTAAATTGAATAATGTTAATTTCGCTTTATAAATTAAATTGAGAAAAACCCCGACCATCTTGGACTGATTTTCATCAAACATAGCTAAGAACACTCCCGACTAATTCAACTTTCAAACAAAAAAAAATCAAAATCGGTTCATCCGTTCGGGAGCTATGATGCCACAGACAGACACATACACGGAGACACGTCAAACTTATAACAACCCGTCATTTTTGCGTCGGGGCTTAAAACAACAAATTTTGGAGTTTATTCCTTTATGACTCATCACTCTTCAAAAATATTGATGCTGTTAAAATATCAACCTGACAGCTGTCCTTCGACGGAGTAAAAGTGCATATCTGGCGAGATGTTATATTTGGTCTGTTCACTCGACACGACCTCTGACTAATCACATCGAGGGTCACTTCTTGTAGTACGTCCGATGTTGGACCTCCAAAGAAAATTGTTCCCCAACCTGCAAAAAATTTAGGTAGAATAGCTATGATATTTAATATTTCAGCCATTTTTAACGTCCCACTGCTGGGCACAGATATCCCTTTCATATTGGGGGCATCAGGCCATAAACCGCCACACATTCACTCACAAACATTCGCCCAAATGCATTTTTATACGTATATGTAAAGCAGTACCTATGACCGTCACGTTGTCTCCAGCGAAGTCTTTCTTAATAAATTTAATTGGCAGACACACAGGACTCACATATTCATTGAAAATTATATCTTCCTCCATCTTTAATATGGCTATATCGTAATCGTAATCAGATCTGAAAAAATATTTTTTAATTGTCAAATTATTTCTTTATTATAAATTAATATTGAAGACATTCCTTTTATATTTTACCGAATTCAAAAAAGGGATGAGGTAGCAACAATTCAATTTTTTGTTATTACTTTGTGTTTGTACCGGATATCTTCGCTAATTATTATAGATTGATTTTTTTAAAGAAAAGGTTATATATTAAGGGTGGTCTCACATAAATCAAAAAATCCACCCATAAGTATTGAGTATTTTTTTTCACTAATAAAAAATATATTAAATCATTTTATGCTATAGATACTAACGTCCCATATAACGGATGTACTACGCTCGATGCAATCGCAATCCTTTGTGTTGTCGATGAATTATTATTAGCTAGAAACAAAGAAAAACAAAAATAAGAATAAAATAATAAATAAATATATTATAATTATATTTTTGCATAATTTATTTTTTTCATAGATGACTTTTAATCGCGTTGCAAGATACCTAGAGACATTTTTTCATAACTATTGACTCACTCGACTCGACGCGGGTTCAAGTCTCGATGGGCTTTCATTTGTGTGATGAGCACGAATGTTTGTACTCATGTCATGGTACTCATGTAATACACACATTTTTACATATGTGCAGTGTATCAACTATCTAGTACCATAACACAAACCTAGTAACTTACCATGGAACTAGATGGTGCTGTGTGTTAATGTCCCAACATATTTATTCATTTATGTTTAACGAAAATAGACAATTATACTAACTTTCTAAAGTATTTTGGTTGTGCAAACCAAAAACAACTTCTTCAACGTATGAGTTAACAATACAATGAGCCGCAGTCAGGACGTATCGCTTATCGATGACAACTCCCCCACACACCACCCTGTCCGCCCCATCAAACAACAGTCCTGCCATCATTGGAAACTCGTGAGGTTTCGTCTCATTTCCACCAACGATACGCCTCTGTAAATAGACATTTAGATATACTTTATTTTTTTTTTGTTTCCCAGTAAGTACTTTTACTCTCTTATGTCCTTAACCATGAAATAAATAAAACGGAAATTAAGTTTCGGATATTTATTCTTATTTGAATTCTACTAACCCGTTTTAAAATATTTTAAATTAAATAGTAAATTTCTCACCTTATTTCGAATTCCACAGGAACAAGGAGCAGGCGGGACTCGCTGAGCTGACAGTCGACATAGAAATCGACCCCCAGGACTTAGTGCTGAAGTTATAAGCCCTGTAAAAAAGGAAAGAAATTTGCACATGTACAATACACAACACAAGTTTTATTCACCTCGTTCGTATGAATTTTCCCCTTCACATACTTTGCCTGGCATTTGGAAGTTAGAAAGAAGTCTGAAAGTAGCACTAGTGATAGCGAAACTGACGTGTGATTTATTAGCTTGAAAGTAATAGAACTTTCAAGATAGTGTTTGGTATAAATAAAGATGGATATAGAAGTAGAGATAGATTGAGGTGTAGATGGACTATGTGAAAGAAGAAGAGTGGCTGAAATGGAAAAAAGGAAGCATATTGTTCCAGTCCCACATGAGGATAAGGACAACAAAATGAGATAATTCTCTCATCTTTGCGATTGTGACAAAGCATTCTCCTCTGGGAAATCATTTTAAATTAATACTTCGGGATGGAATGGCAAAGATCAATGGAATATTTACTTTATAAAATAATTTAACTGGTAACCCCTGACATCTGACATATAATGTGTGACACAAAATGTAGTGATTATATTGTAATTATTTATATCACAAGCTTACTTAATAATTAGCCTATTAAATATAATTCATAGGCTGTCGATTCACGAGGGTGAGTCACTAGTATTTAATATAAATAATATAATCAAGTCTTTTTTGATATTCTCACCTACAGTTAGTTTTTGGTCCGTTGATACAATATGAATACTGCCGTGCCCACAATATGCTTCGGCAGATTCTAACTGGGGATCACCTACTCTCGATATGAGGAGACGGTCTTGTGTACACGAAGAACTCTTAAAAAATATCACAACTATTAGGTAATAACTGACAAATATTTCTGTAGATAAATGTCTTGTATCTAGATTATGAATTGATTAAAGTTAAATTAATTAAATTAAAAGAAGTTAAATAAAAACCAGTGGCACATATGGATGTATGTATGTATGTACATTACATTTAAAGCGAGGTCTATTTTTCTGAATAATATTTATTGCACAAAACTCTTCTTTAAACGTTACAATTATAAAAGTTTATAATTTTTTTGTTAGATGATGAAATTTTTCAATAAATGAAAAAAAACCAGAATCGCTCTTGTAATTATTTTTTGTTATCAATTAATTTTAAGAAACACAAATAATCAAGAATTTTATGTTATATATTTTTTTAATCATATCATAATCATGCAAGTGATTATTTACCTCAGGTATATTAACGTCGTTACAGTCCAGTTTGCAGTTGTATCCCGGCGGGCAAGTGGCTATCCACCTACACTGAATTCCTGCTCTATACTTAAATGGATAGTTTGGACTATAGACATAGGCTATTCTACCTGGTTCCACCTGAAACAAATTATCTTATTATATTTACCGACCAATCTTGCGTATAAAAATTTATTTCGCGTATCTCGGAAAAGGCTCTAATGAATTGAATCTAATTTGATATTTAGATAAGGTTTTGGTTTTTAAGCTTATCTACGAGTATATATATATATATATATATATATATATATATATATATATATATATATATATATATATATATATATATATATATATATATACACACTCGTACATATATATACGTAAAAAATTGAATGTATATAAAATTATAGCAAAATAATTTTACGTATATAAAAGTATATTTAAACAAACTTACGTATCTAAAATAGTCACAGTTAGGATCTTGCAGATATGCATAATTTATCATTAGAACGATCACTATAACTTGTAAATTCAACATCTGAAAATAAAAACATATTTTAATTATCATACAAAACAATGTAGGAACGCTATTATTCAAACAAATATCCTTAACAAAATTGGATCCGAAATCCATTCGAAAGTTCGCCATAACTTACCGTACTCAAATTCCAACTTTTAAATGCTTTCACTAATTAAAATTCACTGAAGTTAGATTTTAGACATGTTGTAATTAGCAACATCTATACTATAGGTAAAGCAGTTAGATGAATAAACCTATTTTGAAATCGTTAAAAGGTGTACAGGATACGCTAAGTCACTAGAAGTAACACGATGGCTCTACACTAGGAAGAGTTTCACAATTTGTTTTATGCATTATTAACACCATGAACAGTGCGTGGAAATGCTTTGCATAGATACGGCGCGTGATTCAAATTTTCACATTCGTTTAGTATATGCAATACCTCTGTTAAGGTATACTAGCAAACACCGTGAATTCTATGATGTTGACACAAAAAGGAATATCAAAATTGTGAACTTCACGACTTCACAAAATAAGGAACAATTTTCGATTTTGTTCGTTGGACTGTGAATATCCTATAGATTGAACCAAGCATTGAAAGTTAATCAAACATTAATATTTATATAGAGTAAAATATTTTTAAGGAATTTCCGCACTTTTTCCACTGGTGTATGCGAACTCTATTTTGAGATTAACTGAACAGTTCATTCATAAAACTATGAAACCTGCAAGTCACAAAGCTTGTTTTTTTTTAATGTTGAAATAAATTTTTGGACATTGATCAATATGTATTATATTGATCATATATATAACGTTCACACATTATCACACAAGGGTCATATAGGCTTAATAGTCATTTTTTTCAATGAAAATTCTCGTTTAAATTGCAGTTTTATAGACTTATGTGGTATTCCGTAGTTATTATATTTAATGGTACAGTTTAATGGAGTGATAAAAGTCTCTATGATTTAAAAAGCAATAAAAAATTGTTCCAAATATTTCAACGCGCGATAAAAAACTTTTCGCATTTTGTCGTCTATTTGTTGAGGAAGGTTATAACATTTTTTTTTATGTTGGGAAATACCTTTACACATACCATCTGTATACTTAAAGATGGTTATGTGGGACTCACCGGCTAGAAATTTTATTTCCGCGAGGAAGGTTATACATCAACAAATGAATGAGTGGTGTATGATGAGAATAGATAAGCGGTGGCAGAGATTCTATAGATCATCTACCTTAACTTAAGGCTGTGTACCATCACTCTTATCTACAACACCTAAAAGCGAGCAAGTATATCTAATACCTTTATACGAGCAATTCCTGTATATTTATACCGGCGATCTAGGAAACGGCTCTAACGATTTCGCTGAAATTTTATATGTGGGCGTTTTCGGGGGCGAAAAATCGATCTAGATTAGTCTTATGTTTGGGAAAACGTGTTTTCGAGTTTTAATGCGGTTATCTTACGCACGCAAAGTATGGTCGCTAATTTCGCACGCTCAGGCATAAGCATCGTGATCAAACGGCCAAGGCACAAGATTAATAATCACAGGTGTCCGAATTTGAATCCCGGTCGGATACAAAGTCTTTACTTTTGGTTCTTTTTAGTTGTTTTTGTGTTTATTCAAGTTTAAAAAAAAAGAAAATTATACTATTGGCCAAAACTCCGAGCGAAGCTCGGTCGCCCAGGTACTATATATTATGTATATATTTATACTAACGACTCACCCTCGCTCCGCTCTGGTTCGTCCCTAGGTCCTTTTAACGGTAACTATAGAAAAGTATATATATTTGTCCTTTCCAGGGTCTCAAACTATCTTATTACCAAATTTCATTTAAATCGGTTCAGTAGACCCAGAGATTTCCCCTCACAAACTTAACCTCTTTATAATATTATATAGATAAGCTACGCAAGCGAAGCCGCATGCAAAAGCTATACACATGAACGAAGTGGTTAATTCGTTCATGGCTATACATTATAATACTAAGAACTCTAAGAATATAAAAGAATTGACACATAACGTTTTCTATATGTCATAAAACTTACGATAAAAAACTTAAAATGGATCAAACCCATCTCTAGTTTAATATTCACAGTACCAACTCTAACAAACACTAAAACTTTTAATACGAATACCAATTATATAGTGTATTACCTATAGTGCATTTTGTTAAATGATTTAGCACTATTAGACCCAATACACACTGCAGGAAACAATGAGTGCATTCACACTATCAATAAAATTCAAGTTCCGGTCGAGTAACACACCAGCAACGTTTCTTATATAAAAATGCTTCACAAGATCGATATCGGACCGAGATTGGCACTATAGATAGATAAAAAGATAGGCCCTTAGAATAATCTATACATATAATAAAATTGTAATCAAGCCGAATCTGTAAATTAAATATTTTTTGGAAAATCTTATTGACATAGACATTATTATCGATATAGAGGCCGAATCTATAGTTTGTAGAATTTTTGTCTGTCTGTCTGTCTGTCTGTTACCACATCATAGAAAAACCACTGGAGGGATTTTGATGAAATTTGGTATGGTGATAGCTAGTTATCCGGGTCAACTAACAAAAGTATAGGATACTTTTTACCGCGGGAAAATATCTCATTTCTGAGAAAAATACAAAAACTGCATTGTAAGAGTATACTAATATGTTAAACCTAAGAATTTGCTTTTTGGTCATCTGAACGCGGACGGAGCCGCGGACAATGCTAGTGCAAAATAAAAATGAAAATGTTATCCCCTGTTGAATTTCTAGGACCAAATCTTATAAACTAATGTATGCAAAATGAAATTGGTTGTATACGTACAAACAAGATATCATAGTGTTTTTTTTATTTGATTTTAATATCTTGGTTACCTTTAGCAAAGCATCCTACAGTCCGCTGCACAGTCCCCCGCACGATTTTACTGTATAGTGCACATTGTACGTGTACAAGTACATAGTCCGGTTTATTTTATACGTGTACAAAGTAAATAAAAATTAAACCAGAATACAAATAACGATTAGCGGTCCTCCGACGCAGCGGTGCTCATCATCAAAATATTAATGGGTACTTTTAATGAAGTTAAAAGGCCAAAAGAGAAATTTTATTATTTTACTTTTTAGAGGGTTTTTTGTGTTGGGGGTTTAAACTTAATGTGTAGGAAATATCTATATTTCATAATCAACATGTCAATTTATTGTAAGTACAGCTCAAATCATGGGATATTTCTAACTCTTACATAACAAGTGAAAAATTGCAGAACAACACATATTGTTATTGGATGAGGGTTATTAATAAACATTTTATGTGTATTAGTACTTGTATGAAACGTATGCAATTGAAACTAATGATTTTGTTCATGCACCCCCATTATATGGATATCAAATGAAAGGGCTTGGTGAGCGAAACCCAATAAGCAAAGTGACGTTATTGTAAATCCAATATGGCGGATTCCCAAAGATGGAGGTCTGTTTGTTTATGTATCCCCATGATATGTATATCAAATGAAAGGATTTGCTGGGAAGAATACGGAAAAAAACATTAAAAAAAGAAGTTAAACCATTTAAAAAAAACAAGCTTTAATTTAAATGCTCTAAAGAGAAGTATAACTTCTTATGTACGTACATAAGTGCACACACACACACTTTTAATTTTGAGGTTAATTTCTGTCGCTGCTCAATTGATATTTTTAATTTTGAGAATTTTAAAAACAAATTAATTAATTACAAGATTTCTTTCTGTGGTGGACTGTATGATGTGGGGTTGAAAGAAAACAATTCTTCCAGATTTCTTCTATTTATTCTTGATTTTTCTTCCTTGTTGTTGCTGTGTTGAGGGCTGGATTCCGACTGATACAATTGTACCTCTAAACCTTATAATTTTTATCACAGGTATTCCCTCATGTATCCCTTTCTTAATATTAAAAACAAGTATATTACAAGCTTTTATTTAGTATCATCTGTCAGGGTCTGTGTATTTGATACTTTTATCTTGCAAGTCTTCTCAGTGTTCGATTGAGCTGAAATTTAGCACACTAGTTTTGTTCCCAATACAATCCGCGATTACCTAGATGCCGCCATTTTTAATCCAATATGGCGGGTGCCGCAAAATAGCGGTTTATCATTCCATATTAACCCCTATGATATGGGTATCAAATGAAAGGGATTGATTAGCAAAATACGATGAGTGTAGTGATATCATTTTAAATTCAATATGGCCGACATCGCAAAATGGCGAATTATCATTTCCACAGTGACCTTTATGATATGGGTATCAAATGAAAGGGCTTGATAAGCGAAATACGTTGAGTATAGTGACATCATTGTAAGTCCAATATGGTAGACGCACTAAAATGGTCATTTATCATTACAAACTTTTATATAAAATCTATACATATAATAAAATTGTAACTAAGTCGAATCTGTAAATTACATATTTTTTTGAAAATCTTATTAAAATAAACATTATTATCGATACAGAGGCCGAATCTTTAGTTTTCAGAATTTTTGTCTGTCTGTCTGTCTGCCTGTTACTGCATCACAGAAAAACCACTGGAGGGATTTTGATGAAATTTGGTATGGTGATAGTTGGTTATCCGGGTCCAATATATAGGATACTTTTTACCGCGGGAAAATATCTCATTTCTGAGAAAAAATACAAAAACTGCATTGTAGGAGTATACTAATATGTAAAACCTAAGAATTTGGTTTTTAGTCATCTAAGCGCGGGCGGGCCTCGGGCAATGCTAGTCTTATATAAAATCGGTGTCAATGTTAATAAATTATTATTTAGTAGCGGCTCACCCTCGCTTCGCTCGGGTTCGCCTCTAAAAAAACACTAATAGATGTCTATTTGTTCCCACGGGAACCGTTCTTTTTTCTGGGATGAAAAGTAACGTGTTGTTTGACCGGCAATATAAGGTATCAGCATGCCAAATTTTACTAAATTAGGTGTATAAGTTGTTGTGTACTAAGCTGTA